CCGACCTGCGGGCACCCATCCACCACGATCACATTCTCGTAACCATCAGATTCCTTAGGTTTCTGCTCTAAAAGGTCGGCCAACAATTCTGCAACGTCAAAGTTAGGTTATGTTTTATAACCCAAAAGAACCACTCACAAATCGAAACCAAAAAAAATAATACACTTCACAATTACTTATTTAACAGCACTTCATCACAAGAAACTGTTAAAAATAGCCACAACATGAATGGGAAGCCAGAAAATGCGTGGATGACGCATATGGCCGGCCCAACCTCCAGCGCAGAAATTGCCTACCTTCGTCAGTAATGTCGTCGACAAAACCTTCCGGATCGTCAAAGTCTGGCTCCTCATCATAATTCTGCTCTTCATTATCACTCTGGGGTGCTTGATTCACTTTCTCATCGCCTTTTTTCCGAGCCATTTTGACGTTAAAACGTGTGTTACCGGAAGACACGCCATTAGTGGACTAAAACCATAGAGTGACAAGCACTCTTGCCTTTTTTTTTCACTTTCACTTTGACGCTTGATGCGTTTTATTTCTTTTAATTAATACATTCTGTAGCAATAAAAAATATATTTAATTAATAAATAAATTAAACTACTTAAATTCTTAAAACATGTTTTATCTAGTAAATATATTATCTAAGATATTTTTGTAGATAGTACAAAATCATGTTGAATAAAACATAAAACCATAGACAATTGATTGTTAACAAATTAGCGCGAAATCGTGTTTATAATACTTTTGAAACTTCCACAAGTTATGGAGGCAGACCTTTTTACCAAAGATTACGGTACTACATACTTACCACGTTTTTACTTTTAAGTTTTCATATTCATTTAATCACTTCGCAATGTTACAGAAGTTACAACAATAAAGGGTAGTACAAGATTTCAAAACATTAATTAAAACTTTAGAATTTTGTTGTGTGCAGTCGATATCTTTACCATTAAATTTAATATTGATCAACAAACAAATTACCTACTCTGATAGTTTAAACTACCTAAGTATTTTGCGATACTCATCATCAATTTATTTTCCAATATTCCTGTGAAACGAATCGTTCAAAACTCTTCATATTTAATTTGTAACTGAATTGGTACCTATTTGTGAAGGCGCTGATTCTCAAACCGAGGAATGATATTATTGTACCTACTCGGAACAGTAAATTCAGTAACCAAATCAATGGCAGTGTATGGTGTAAATAAATATTTTACCTATCAAAATATCAAATCTCTAAACCTTGAAGAAAACGAATTGATGGAACTTTAGGTATGCTTAGTTATCATAATACATATTTTATTATTTTTTCCCCCTTTAACGATTACATCTTAGCTACCTGCAAGGTATTTTTTAATAAGTATAGTTAGGTTTTTTCTGCTACATTAACTTAGTAGTTAAGTCTACATTTATTTAACTAATTACTTTTCGCATCGTAACTAATCTCGTATACTGCTTACAACAAACAAACTTACAAAAAATGTGAATAAATCTCTACCGATCCACGAATGACACCCATACACGTGACGGGTCAGTGCACACGAAAATTGAGGTCGACCGACACTGCATGTGTTGCATCGTTGCATGCCTATTCGTAGCGTGGCTCAGTAAAAGTCGACAGACCACTCTTATCTTGCAGATAGCTTGTAATATACTGCTTTTACTACTGGGGGATTATAATGAAGATTACAGTTTGCTACTGAAAAGATATTTGTAGTTGAAATAAGAGAGATTTTCCAACAAAAATTGATAGTTATAAGGCGCTGCACACGTAACTAAATCGTGAAGGTATGCTAGATTTAAAAGTACTTTAAATGTCGAAACGCAAACACTACTTTTAGGCAAATAATTAGCGCATTGCAAACAAACACCTTGTTAGATCATCTTTGCAAATAAAACTTGGCAGAGAATGGAAATGAGAGAAATCTGGTCAAGTCACTCAAGTGGCACAACAAATCGTATTAACCTGTAAACCAGTTATTATGATTATGTAATCTGAAAACACGCTCGCTTAGAATACCTACTATGTAACTTAGGTAGGTAGGTACTTACTTAAAGGCAAAATAAGCGATTCCCAAATTAAAAGACCGCTAAAAACTTTTATTTTAAAATTAGTTTGTGTCTTGTCGAGACATATGAATTTTCGTACAATACCTACCTTACAAACCAAAAACCAATCTACTATTACGCACTAGATATGGGTCCTACTCGTACTTATCAACAATGAACTTGCTAAATGATACAAGTACAACCTTATGAGTCACGAAGTTTTGTAACCGCTATTGTCAAGGCTATTGTTTCGGAGTAATGACTTAAGTAATGCACAAAGATGCTGTACGAAGCTGCCATGTTCCATGGCGTCCTACTTTCTAAGGCCCAGTTTTTTGATTCATAGTTAAAATAACAAATTGTTAAATTTTGTTACTAATGGTTAAATATTAACAAAATGTTAACTAATAGTTAAAAAATGTACTAAAAGTCAAGGTAACCATTGTTCGAAAAACATTTTTTTCTGATATTTAACCACTTGTCATTTGACATCTGTCAAATTTGACTATTGGTTATTTTAACTACGAATCAAAAAACCGGGCCTAAGCCCGAGCTTTAGATTACATAGGGCCACGTGGTCTCTGCTCGTAGTACCTTATCAACGATTGTCCACAGAGAGCTATCTACACTCATATGCTAGCTATCTCCTAGTTATTAATAGCTGTGTACTGTGGGGTACTGCTTTTTGCAGCTTAAAGGCGTTACAAACCCGATTCAGTCTCAATACAGTTGCATAATTATCATTATCACTGCCAATTTAAGTAATTAATATCGATGCAATTTTTCAGGGAATTTTATCAGGAAGGGTATAACCTACCTACAAACAAACTTTTAAAGGAGCTCGTCTCTCGATTAATCTCGAGATCTTAAAAACAAATGCTATAAGTACTCCTCTGAACACCTACTATATCTATTAGGTATAAATACTCAAAGTGTAAAAAATCACATTTTTACTACCATAAATCTTTACTTGCAGTGAACGGCCAGTTTAAACTACTTTTCGTCACAGTGTTTTGACCGACGCGAGTTTACAGCATTTTGATAAGCATAAAAAAATATTAAACTTTTACTTAGTTACTTAAATGGTTTAGTAAAGAATGTAAAAAAATACATACTTTGCATACGAATGTGATCATGATGTCATCCAGTCATCTTAAGAATACATTATTAATATTAATTGAAGCATTGGGTGCAACAAGGGCGTATCTCGTAAAATAGAGTTTCGAGAAAATTGACGATGAAAGTTTCAATGTCTTATATTTTTTTAATGTTTATAATTTGACTTACACTTACTTTATTAATTGTTAGTCCCATGATTTAACAATAAGATTAAGGTATTATAACTATTTTAAAGCAATCGGAAACATCTTAAAATGCGATTTTTTTTACTTGTGTTATCCGCCCTTGTTGCACCAAACTGGTAAACAGATAGGGCGTTAGTTAAATTATTATTTTTTATGGAAAATAAATAACAATTTGAATACTTTTTTTTATTAATTTTAATTAAAATGTAAGTCAAACATGTGTATTTATTACAATCACCGTTAAAATATTAAACTTTCTTAACATTTTTTCCGACTTTCGTGTTTTAATCAGATTTATCAAAATATTCACTAGACTGAAGGGAATCTTCCGAATCAGCTGCAACTGGCCTGGAAGGTCCAGCCTGATCGTCCAGGCCTGCATGGAAGGTCAGGACCAGTTTCAACCACTCATTTGGCTCACTTTTAGCTAGGTCCACGGACCAAGTCACCAGATTGAGTTTTTAAATATTTTCTTCTTTTTTAAACTGGTTGCCGCAGTTTCCAGAGCTAAAAAGGTGAACCTTCAATATTTTTGTTAATATAATAAAACAATAAAATCAACACAAATCTACTCTAGAATCTTAGAGTGAGTCCATTTGCCGGAGGAATAAATAATTGAAAATTCAGTCTGGCGACTTGATCCGTGGACCAATCTAAAAGGGGGCCAAGTCACTGGAAGACTCAAAATTAGTCTACAGTAATTTTTTACATTAATAAGTTTTTAAAAACTGCATACAGGTTGAATTTAAATGCACTTTTATTACTGTGTGCAACAAGGGCGTAGCGCCACTTGTGACATAAATTATTCTCACGCCATCAGGGAGCGTCTGATCGAAACCAGTTTTTGGGATGTTAAACTAGATGGTACAGTGCATGTTTTGATATAATAACATCAAAACGGACTTTCGGTACCGAACGCCCTTGTTGCTCCCAATGCTTCAATTATGTTATGTCGGTCGTAATTTCCTTCACAAATACTTGATAACAATAGATGTTGGTATGTAAAAACTTAGTAAGTAGTTACTTTATACATTTTATGTATTAAACCTATGTTTCTAATAATAAATTAATGTTATTTTATGGTTAAGTGGTATGTAGACTTTAACATTAACGTCATTTTATATGACTTATTCTGCAATAAATAAATAAGCAGCTGAACAAACACAACGACGGAGAAAATGCATAAGTAAGTAATAAAAAAAAATTAAACCACATTTCAGTGTGATTCATATAATAGTAACTTAGTGAGCAATGTGCATTATTCGTCGTTGTTAATCAAGAAAATTTGAATCAAAGCTTTCTAACTTTGATGTAAATAAAACTCTACTAAACACTCTACTCTACCAAAAACTTTGGCTAACCAACCATAGATGGTAGCCAGCCAGCCCAGCATATTCTCAAATATTTTCGGTGTGATTTATTAGATGTCTAAATTAGATAGTTGTAGTATCTTGACGAACTGGTTGGTCATCCGCCACACCGTCTACCTATTACTTGAATGCAGCGTCATAGTACCGTAACACTATTAGCATTCATTCACCAGTGGTTCCCGAGCGTTTTTAGGTTACTTTAGCGATGCCTTGGCGTTTGTGAGTATCGAGTACCTACGCGGTGACAACACCATTACACCACAGTAGAGCCGCAAAGGCCCGGAGTCCGCGAACCTCAGTCAGTGCCTCCGACAACGCGCGCGAGTGACGCCGTATTTCCCGCGCATTCCAACTACGACCATAGACTAAACGGATATAGTCTATCCCGAATCTTCCTGCGTAAAGGTAATTTTCGGCCAGTATTTTGAGTTTTTGTGTCCGAAGTTTGCAGTTACAAAAAAGTGTGTGAAAAAATTTTCTGCAACGCTTTTGTTATTGTTTGCAAGTTACCTGGCCGGCTTATTCGCTTTGGCCTAATAATGGTTTTATTGAATCACAATCTACAGTGCATGTTGTGCGTAAAAGTGCATAGTGAAGCGTATTAATGTATTAAATTGTAATTACATTTCACAATAAACATTATTTGCAGTTTACATTTTTACAAAACAACGCGCTCTACAATGTCTATTTGTTCTATGAGATTCTAGTCGACATTCCGTTACTTTTTTTCGTTAGATGGGAACTTGATGGGGCACCACAGCCAGTCGGCCGATGTAAAAACTACAGTCTCTATTAGTGGCATAGCATGTTCGATTCATGCGGTATTTTCTTGTAAGTAGGTAGACTCACACACTAACACAGTAGCTACACTTTTTTAAAGCATGCGAAATGTATGTTGTTCATCTGTTCAAATAACAAAGTAGGTAAGTACAATCGTTATGACTAAATAAAATTATGCAAGTCTGTTAAATGTCCTACATGAGTACTTCGTAAATAAAATGACTAAGAGAAAAATTTTAAGTCTACCAAAACAGGAAAATTAACTAGGTACTTAGGTGTGATGCAGATTTTGCGGTGAGGATTCTTCATTTTAAAGTTGTTTACTCGCATTTCCTTACTTATGTTAGTACCTCATAGATACTTTTAACTCATGCTTATAGCAAAGAATGCTACGTAAAAAAGTTATGTGCAACTTAAAAAGACATTTATTATTATCAACAAAACTTTCAAACGATCTGCTCTACTATGCTCTCTTGGGAATGAAGAGGAGATGACTCCGCTAATCCTTAAATTCACTTAAAACGACCTAACTTTTCGGAAAATGAGATTTTTGTTGTTAGTAGGTAATTTATAAATCCTAATAAAATAGTAGAGAGGTAGGCATATTTTCTTGTTATAAAACCATATTTCAAAACTAACTTTAACAAAAATGAACAACGAGATTTCCCCTAGAAAATTGCAGAGTGACAAGAGTTACATTATTGTATTAATTTAATTGATACCTATTTCGAGTCACTGTGTAGCGACCCATCCTTCAATGCAATTAGTGAGTCAATTAACAGATTCTGGAGTCAGAGAGACTTAAATAAGGCTAACTAACAATACTGCAACCAATAATGACCGCAGCTATAATATTTTTAGCGGGAAATTATACGTCCATCCTATTACTGTTATCTTTTTAAAATAATTTACCGAATTTTTCCCTTTAAAACTTGTATTTATTTTATTAATAGACTCGTTTAACCCCTCGTAGCAAATTAAATTATGTTTGTATTACGAATGAGTTCACCACAATAATCCAACGGTGGGATTCGAACCCGCGATCCTCAGATCTTGATTTGTTCTAAATCCTAATATTATGATTTCTCAAATAGGTGCTTATACAAAATGTTAAGATAATGCTATTTCATTTATTAAATACAATTCCGGCGTCTTTAAACTGAAAATATTTACATAACTTTTAACACCTTTATCATTGGTCAATAAAAAGATAATTTCGCTCTTGTTATTGCAAATTTTAGATGCGAGACCATTGTTTATGCTCTACTAAACAACATACGGGCCTAGAATCCAACAATGGAGCATTTTCTAGACAGCTAGAGCCCAGCCTATAATCAATTCAGAATCCACTGAGATACGACTTCTTGCGAGTGAATGAGCACATCGTTGTCTCTATAAATCTTTATTACGACTCAAAGATTTTACAACTTTGAATGTAAAATACGCTAATATTGTCATGCTTACAAGTAATTATATAAATGACAGTTATGTCTCTAAAATTACAATTTTAAATTAAAGTCACTCGTCTGTCTGTAGAGTAGGTACTTACTAGTACGATTTTCTTCAATTGATGAGAGTGTTTCAAGAGGAAAGTGTAGTAGATTGATTCTAGTTAGCTATTTAAATTTAATACGAACCAGATTGATTCGAAATTTGAAAATAATATCGTTAAAGCTAGAAAAGGAATAACCGATTTTAAATGGCGGATGTGCCTACACAGTTAATGAGTCCACACACCCTGAAAACGACGTTCGAACGTTCCCGATCCCGATATTTGTAACATTCAGTTATGTGCTATATTTATTGACATATGTACCATCGCTTTTATTACAAATTCAAAATGACGCACCTTCCAATTGCTATTGGCAAATTATTATTTTTAGAAATAATTAACGTTACACATCGTGCTGTCTTTCCCGAAAACTATAATCCGGGCCTCTTTAAGGCGAGAGTGAATAAGTACTTACAGGGCAGATATGTACCATCCTAGACTGCATCCCACTTAACATCAGGTGCGATTGTGGTCAAATACCTGCCTTGTTATGCATAAAAAATAAAAATAAAGTATTAATATTAGTTCGGTTTCCTTATTAATATTTAGACTTAAACAACTGTCAGGAACTATGATTTGGAAACTCATATTATGGAAACGAAAATATTTAGTCAGATTAGAAGATGTTACGACTGCAAACGATGCGTAAACGAATAAAGTTTCAAAACACTTGCGGAAGTTACGGCCGTTTATGAAAACATTTCTTTCATAAAAATTATGCGAGGCAAAGTTTGAATAAATGGACAAATCTTACTTTGTACGTCATTAACGTGTTATCATCATTGCAATCTTCTTACTAGCTCCAATTAAGTACTTATTAACTGACTAATTATCCAGAATTCTCTATTACTGAACCCACCTCTGTCAACCCTGTACTGGATCAGGATATAACCTTGACCACGATTCAGTCAATCGTCAAACAACATTTCATAGATTGAGCTCCAGTTTGTGTATGCTCAGGCAGGATACTGATACTCAGGAGTCGCAGTACGGGATCGACAGAGGTGGTCCAGTAATGTAGCTGTCAGTCGCCCAAGCAGCGATGGAACTTCCCAAGAATAAGCGCTTTAAGATAGCGTTAAAACACTAAACTTATTCTTAATGATGCTTTTTCTTCACAGACATGGGTTGGTCCCTTCCAGCGCTTCTTGCGCTCGCGACCCTCGGGTCAGCGCAGCTGCAGGAGACCTGCCTCTCCGTCGAAGAGGACCCGTACCTCCTCTTCGGCACCAAGACTGCTTACATCTTCGCCAACCGAGGCCTCCCTAACAACAATAGGGCCCATGAAGTCCCTGGTAAGTTTACAAGTTATAGAATAAGTTAAGCACCATAAAACGAATAAGTTCCTACATTTTACGTTTGCTTGATTATAATAAGTTAGTTCAGATCTCAGATAACATTATACGTTCAGAATCAGATAAGTAGAGCCACGAAGCAACGCTTTGTAGAGTTAGTTCGTTAAATTTAAAATTCAGTTCAATAAAGCCTTCTATCTTCTGTTTTGTGGTCAGATTTAAGCGATCATGAAGCTGTCTGTAACCCTGGTATAGATTTAAAAAAAGAGATAAGCAATTTGCATTGCACGAATTACTCATGCTAATAGCGTCCCGTTAGCCCCTCGTGTTAAGCTAAATAAGCTTGTGTTAAGAGTGGGCTCACCATAATCGTCGAGCGGCGGTGGGATTTGAACCCGCGTTCCTCGGATCTCGAGTCGGCCACTCCGACCCCTTCAGCGTTCGACTATCGTGGCATTCGTGGCTATTAGAATGCCAAAACGTACCGCAACTTTTTGGGCAAGTTGGTATAAGTTTAGCTTAGCAACTGCTATAGGAATTTGCGATTCTTATCTAGACCCCGAAGCCTAATTTTACAACATAGCATAGCTGTTGAAAATTCAGTGGGAAGTAAAATATTGCGGAATTTTTTTACCGACGTAGGTAGAGCAATTTCGCGCTAAATTATTTCCTCATCCTGAGTAAGGAATATTGTCTACGTTCCAGTTTCAAGTTCAGTTGATGGTAGATCGGTACACCCACATTATTAAGTCTGCTTAAATTAATGTGACCGTCATCCGTAAAAATGTTCCTAAAATAATAAACCCCATATGGCGCCAAAACGTTCATTAAAGAGTCTGACCATCAACATTTTAATTTACTTTTATGCAATCGCCTAATTCGGGCAAAAAGCTAAATTATTCGTAATGATTATTAAAGTTAATTGCCACGACATTGAACTAGACAATGAAACAATTTAATTTAATGATTGCATAAACACTAAGCAGTGGTCATTCCACTCAGGATATGGCAACAAGAAATGGATTAGTATTATTTTTTAATGAGATGGATGAGCTAAAAGTTTTTCATGACGGCACATATAAGCTATAAACTGTGCCATTTTGAGAAAAAAATATTTTTAATGCAAAATGTTGCCAATACCTTGAAAAAGTTACCAGATCTCATGATGTTGAGCTAAGTTTCTAACTTCACTTGCCTTAACTTCACAAACTCTACACCATAGTCAAAATATGTGGCATAGCCGTTTTGCTATCGTCACATGGTGTAAGGTGAAAATTTTAATCACCATACTAATGTATGGTGAATATGGTGTTTAAATTTTTCACTAATAAATTTTTACCTAATGTTAATTTCAATAAAATCTTGTAGTTAAGAATCCGCCAAAGAACTGCGTTACGTCCTGTGTTTTTAACTCTGGTGGTGTACTTGGTGGGTCTTATTCCTGAAGATATAGAGTCGATTATTGTAAAAAGTACCTATGCATCAACTTTTGATGCCAGCCAACCGTAAATGCCCTAGGTATTTCAGATACGCTATAACTAGGTATTATTACTTTCATTGTGCTGAATGAAAAGAGGTTGAACACCCATAGAATAGATGTTGGGGACCGTGACGCACTATGGCATAAAATACAGAATAATTTAACGTTCATTGTCGCCGGAAAATATTTGCTGTGAAATATTGATTGTCTGTTTTGTATTATTGTCTTTGACATTATACGAGTACTTACGTAACTATCGGACAAGAAAATAACTTCTTTCGAAAAGTTACCACTCGAGCACAAAAAACATCTACTCGTAGCTCGGGGCTCTACAATCTACAATGTAGATCACAAGAAAAAGTAATAATACTTCACTTAAAATAATTCTGACCATTCTTAATTTATTTATCAAGATGCTTTATTACAAGTAGTAGTACGTAGTACTTATTATTATTCTGTGGTAGTAGGTACTAGCGACTGTACTCAAATATTCTGGCCTAAGTACGTCAAAAGGAAACAAAACACGACGCGAAACAAATGACAAATATGCACAAGCAGAAAGCAAAGGTCACTCAAATCGGACAATAGGTCAAAGGGATCTCATTAGGAGAGGTCACGGGTTGATGGTCTGTCAATAAACGTGATCCAACAACCTCGACTTATAATGGCACCTAAATAAACTGTCCCGCTTTTGTACGAAGTTGGATAGATTGCTATCTTTACGGAATCGGTGTTTTTTGCTCAAGAATAGCAGTGGACGTCGTGTCCTAATTCCTATGGCTGAAATGATGATGATGATAGGGATAGATGGATTGTAAGTCCATCAAGTATGGTGAATTTAATGGTAGGCTTACCTTACCTATCCTTGCAAACTTTTCTGAAGAAATCTTTCTAGAGAGGTACTTATCTAACCTAAACCAAATCTCAAGATCTTAAAAGATTAGATAAATAAATATTTTCGCAGTTTTCACAAAAGATATTCATAAAACTATGAGCTAAGCCCTTATACCTACCTACTACTAATATTATAGGTAAATGCGAATGTTTGTGTGGATGTTTGTTACTCTTTCACGCAAAAACTACTGAACGGATTTTGTTGAAACTTTACAGTATTATTTTTTATAACCCAGATTAACATAGGTATAGGCTATAATTTATGACGATATGTGACAAACGAAATTTCACGCGGGTGTAGCCGCGGGCAAAAGCTAGTATCAATATAAGACGTAGAGTAGAAGTCCTAAGTTGTATGGCATGGCAGAACCATCAAAATCATGAGGGTTTCAAAACCATGAACGTCTTACTTACCCTGCATTTGTATGCAGCTATGTTTCTCCATAAATTATACGATGCGCATAAGAACAGCTCGCGCAATTTTTTAACCGACTTGAACAAAAGGAGGAGGTTCTCAATTCGGTTGGTATGTTTTTCTTATACATTACAAGGACGTTGATAGAGCATTATGACGCACTTACGCCTCATTAGCTTTAAGAGCTATAATTAAACCACTGCAGTTCTCTGCGACCCATATTGCATTTTCGCCTGAGTTGACTCCCTCGCATGCAGGGTCAGATAAGGCACTTTACACCGATACGCCTTCATAGGTGCACCTTGAACTTGGAGTAATTAATCATAATTCAAGGCGATTAGTTACTGAATTTTAAACATATTTTTTCTTTGCCTATAAAATTAAGTAATTGCATAAAAACTGCTGCTAGAAAGCCTTGCAGTTTTAAAACCTTAGTTTTACACAAATTGGTTTCTCTATGTAATTTTAGTCTTATAGCTAGAGATTTCTATAACTTGAGAATCCTTTTCCGAAAACTTTTTGTACCTTTTTGCATTTTAAAAGCGAATGACGACCACTGAAGAAGATTCTTATCGTGTCGACAACAAACCTACACAGCGTCAGCCCAAAACTCCTCCACAAGAATGGCGTTGTCAGTATAGCCTTCATTAAATCATCCTGTGTGCAGTTTGACGACTACGATAATTACCGAGGTGCTTAATCTATGATTTAGAAACTTTTTGGCGATTTTTGATAATTATTTATTTATTTATTGCATATCCAATAATTAGTTCGTCTAATTATTGTCTTCGCCAGTCGCCTCGACTCTACCACTGTGGTGGTGATAGAGTCCGTAGTGGAGTAGTGGTCGCACCACTAATGAACAAAATAAATTAGGTATACATATTTAGGAAGCTCAACAATTATAACAAGGTCAAATAAATGAAAGCCCCATTTAGTCGACGAACATAATCATCAGCAAAACTCAAAGGTAACAAATGGCCATACAATTCCCATTTCCCATACACTGATTGGTCTATTTTTCATGTCCAATCTGCCTTCTGGGTAACAAAACGCCGAAGACCAATCGATGGGCGTCCAATTAACACTAATAAATGACCCCGGATCAATGATATTAAAGAACTATAGATATGTTACGTTCATAGAAATTACGATTTGAATCCGTGCCGAGCTATTCCAAATCGCACACATTGACAAATGTAACTGATAAGTGAAACAAAAGATACGAAATAGCACGCAAATGAAAGAGATAGCTATAGTTTTAACGATTCTGCACTAACTAATCTATGTCCGTAGCGCACGCATCCTTATCGCTCTAACGTCAAAACAAGATCGCTTTCTCTTTCTTAACTTGAACATGGCGCATGGCGTCTTGATTGTTTGCATAAATAATTGAAAACATAAATACTAAATAATTTTGCATAATCACATGTGGTAAGAGATCCCTTGTATTTTGTTTACTTTAGAGTCATAATTGGTACACTTTCGAAACACACACGATGGCATTTTTTATTTATTTTGGTAAGAACAGGAACTTACGGTGTGGTACGCACGCGATTGCGCACGACGCAGGCCACTCGAAGACTAAACACAAGACGTCCCAATTGGGACGTATTTGAGTATTCACAGCGCGAGCGCTTATAACATATCTGCTTTTGTTTTTATATAATATCATTGCCCCGGAGTCGGTTGATTCATCGTTTATCGCATCATGGCTATTTTTATGGGATTTGTGGGACGGAAGGAACATTATGGACGGAGGTTGGGTCTGGGCGCTATAAATAATGCCGCGACTTGGGCTGGATTTTGTTATGGGATCTTCCTGAGTTAGGGCTGTCAGATTGCTGTTAAACTATTACGATGAAAATTTATGAGTATTTAACAGCAGTCTAGTTGGACCAGAGCAGAGGAATCGACGGAAAAAAGGTTTCTAGAATCTTTCCTCTTTCTTCTGTGAGGTCAAAACCGACCTCGACTTCTTAAAGAAACAAAAGAATCCCATCTCAATTATATCCTAGATATTTGATTAAGACTAAACTTAAAAAATACGCAGGTAAGGTTCTGCAAAATATTTCAACCTTACTCGACCTTCTCACTTAAGTAGGTACCTTACTCTACTTACTTTGTGTCCTGACTTATAGAAAGAGGGAGACATAATCATTGGAAATAAATTAAAGACTAGAAAGAGTTTTACTGAAGTAAACATTAACTACAATTATTTCTATTACTTAGTTAATCAATAAGAGGCAACCCTGCTGATTACACCAGGTTATTATGGGAGTCTGATGCGCAAGCGCAAGTACACAAACTGGCACGACACACGGACACCGTGTGATACACAACAATGGTAATAAATATATAATTAGCCGCCATTACACATGCGAGCAGTTCAGCGGAATATCGAGACGGATTTATAGGAAAATTTAATTTTATTGTTTGTGCACGTGGGAAATTATTACCCACTTAAAAACGATGCTGTAGAAATGTTTCGTTCGCTTACTTATTAACTTTTTTCCCAACTGCAGAGCTGTTTCTTTGTGAACCTGAGAACATTCAATGAGATGTTCGTTTCATATGTAGTTAAAAATGTATCACTTGACACAGTAGCGGCGTAAGGGGGGGGCGGTGGGGGCGGTCCGCCCCGGGTGCCAAGCATCAGGGGGTGACACAAGTCGCGCAGATTAGTACTCACTGGCATATCTGCATGGCAAATCTGCGGTCTATGTCATGATACGGGGGGGTGGGGGGTGTGAATGTCTTTCAATCTTCGAATCGGTAGGTAACCCCAAAATCCTGGGGGGTACCAGGGGGTGCCATAGGACTTGTGACGGGGGGGGGGGGGGTACCAACCCATGCTACGCCGCCACTGACTCACTGACTTGACAATTGATTATGGTAGTCTAGTTGTGGGTACCTATGTCTAGTCTTGATCAATTGAAAGCAGTACGTAGTAGGCACCTAGGTAAGTATGTCTAGTCTTGATCAAATATCCTACATTTTCTATGTCCATTTTTTCAGCGGCAGTTGTCTCAAAACTTCTTGTTTCTTACCACAATTTCTCCTTCTCCAGGATGCCAGCCGGTCGCGTTCTGGATGATGCAGCGGCATGGCTCCCACAACCCGGAGGCCGACGAGATCGAAAGGCTGCAGAACCTGACCGACCTCAAGAACAACATCATTAGCAACTACAGGAATAGCAACTTCAGGAACACCAATGTAAGCATTGCATTGTTAACCGCCTCTGTGGTCTAGTGGTAAGGCCACCTGCTTCAGACGCAGAGGTCCCGGGTTCGATTCCCAGTGGGGGCAGATTTTTCTGTTCGGTTTGGTTGGTGGTAGGGCTTGTTCTAAGTCCGCCTGGCTAGCTACCACCATCTTACCTAAGTCTGTCGCCATAACAACAATGTTAACAGCATTGTTGTTTTCCGGCAGTTAGAGGTAAGATAGCCAGTTCCTCCGTGGTTGAGGATTCCGGGTGAAGCTCGCTTCCACCTTCGGCCTGATCGTCACTTACCATCAGGTGAGATACAGGCCAAGAGCTTCCTAGTTGTGGATAAAAAAAAATTGTAATCACAAAACTGTCGCTCTGTTCCAATTCTTCTCTATCAAGTTTGCAAATGTTAGCTAACATGTAGGACACTAGGTAATTTGTCATCGTTGATCACCCATACAACTCATCATAGATTGATCAATGAATAGAAAATGACTACTTTAGTAGGTAGGTTAGGTTGATAAAATGCGCGTTCCAGCGGCCAATAAGAGTGTGGAGGCTTGATGTTAGCATTCTACAGGGTGTCCCAGAATGGGTGAATCAAACTGCTAGGGGAGGTAGCTCTACTAATGTAGTTACTATCCCTAAAAAATATGAAAAAAATAAAGCGCATGACACTTTTTTTTTTAAGGGAAAATAAATCAGCTTTGCCTAAGTATCTGGCTATAATTGCTGCGTTTGGAGTTTATTTGTACTTTTTTCTTACTAATATTAATTGTACATGATCGCTTCGGATAACTGTAAACAAACTTTTGAAAATAATGACTAGATTTCGAGTTTGGAGCACTTTATTTAAAAAAATCCGAACTCAAATTTTTTTTTCATATTTTTTAGGGATAGTAAAGCCTGACCAGGAACATAAAAACCCTCGCCATGTTGCGGAAAACTAATGGTACTAATTTCTTTTAATGGCAACAGTAACTGAAAACTTCATTGATATGTCACCTTGCATGTCAGTCTATTGCTGTCAAAGTGTAAACAAACTTTATTTTAAATGTGCGCAGTTGGTTTTATGAATTAAATTGCTAAAATATTTTTATAGTCGTGAAAGAAAAGTGGTTCACAATGTGTTAAAGTATTTGTCGAAGAGAAATACTAAGGGTTCGGACAATATTTTCATTGAATAATGTTTCCGACAAAGGTTGTCAAATTGACTGACATGTTTATCGTATAGTACAGTCCACTATGAAAATTAGCTGTGGTTTGTTTCAACTACATATTTTAAAAATTTTGTCACTTTCTAAGTGTTGAATTTTATGGGATTGGGAAAGAAGTACCGAGTTTGAAGCGTTCATGAGCAGACATTGCAGTTGAATATTCAAGTTCTGAATTTGATTAATGATGAATAATAAAATAAATCTACTAGCTCGATTGATGGTTTCATTTAATTTATTTAAATCAGGTTACCTATAATAATATTATTTCGTTAATTTATGAAAATATCAAATTAGCCCGTAATCCTGAATCCTGATACATAAAGTTAGCCTATTAATTTAACACAGGTACGACTGTACTCAGTGTTGCACTATCAAATGCAATTGAGGCGCCTCTATGCCAGGGTTTTTATGTTCCTGGTCAGGCTATACATTAGTAGGTACAGGTACCTCCCCTAGCAGTTTGATTCACCCATTCTGGGACACCCTGTATATTACCTAAGTAATTGAGTTGAGGATTGCATTTGTAATTACGAGGAGGCTGTTGATGTAAGCATACTATAATTAAATAATTTCACAGAATCGCATTTGCGTGTCCGACGTCAAGATACTGGAGCACTGGCAGTACAACCCTCGCCACAACCTGAGCTTCGCCGGGGATCTGACGAGTGACGGTTACCTCAGCGCTCAGCAACTGGCACAAGCGTTTAAGCGCAAGTACCCTGAGCTATTTACTGACAACAGGCATAATTACCTGGTAGGTATTTTACTTTTAACGAATAAACTTTCTAGTATTGTGAATTACAACTTGATCGAGAGCTTTTACCAATTACCAAAACCTACAATGCAACAGGGTACCTGCCTTCTTCTTATTCGTTACGCTCATGGCAGAGCGGTCGTGGTCACGTTAAGGCGTTGTTCGCATCGGTTGTAGAGGCGGATACAACTCTCCGCAAGATCTCCCGCCATCTCTCTCTATCGGCAGACTGTCTGGTGCAGTCACATACGCCGTCTCCCACTGCTGATTTAACTTGGTCGGTCCAGCGCATTGGTGACCTGCCACGCGATCGGATCCCTTCGACTTTTCCTTGGACGACCAGCCTAGTGGACTGCTATTTTAACTCACCCACTCTGAGCCTACACAACTAGAATATCAAAAAACATAACCCTTCTTCTGGCGCAGCCGGGTGATCTTAAAAAACTTTATCCTAGCTCTACCATTATCATCATCATTAATACAGCTTATGGCAGTCCATAGGTCGTAAGCCAAAGAGCATTTCAAAGCAGGATCTCCTTCTTTTTTCATCCAATCACAGCTATCTTCAGGTGGTTCGTTTTATCTCCCATAACCGTGATTTATTTTGTTTATATTCATGGTCTTGTTTCAGTTTAAATACGTAAAAGAGAGTCGGCTCAGCACCACATTCCGTGCTTTCTCCGAGGGCATCTTCAAGACCATGATCGACAGCGATGACCTCCCAAAGGAAAATGATGAGAAACTTCTAAGGGTACGTCGATTTTCGATGAAAAAGATAGTTTACAAAGTCAAAACATTCCATGATTTTGTTCTGATTTGTTTCAGCCGTACAAATTCTGCAACGCTTGGACAAAAAGTACGGAAGAAAATCCTGATTCGCCCTCACAGAGAACTATCTTCGAATCCAAATATGAATACAAACAAGTGAGTACCTATAATAAAGTAAAGCAATATAAATTCCCTATTATGTAAGGGATTTTAAGGCAATCCCTTGAATACATCCTTAAATCCATCCATCCAATCCTTACCATACGGGGAAACGTCTCAAATAAAGCTAGACCTACCACCACTTCGAGACATTTTTGCATTAGGTCCAGTGTAGCGGTATGCCTATCGTTTTCTTAGACCCTGCAATCTGCAATAGAAACGTATTATAAGAATAAATTTATTACTGTATAAAAAAAACTTAGCCTAAACACGTACAAGTTTGGTTTCAGCCTAAGTACTATTCAGCCGTCAAACTCCCTAAGTACTTAACTAAGTAGTTACTCATTTTTTCGATCGCTTGATTGCTATCTTTGTTGCCGCAACTCATTTTTCTTCTGCTATGACAATCACCTATAGCCTACACCAGGGATGGCGAACCAATGGCACGCGTGCCATTGATGGCACGCGCCACAATATTTAGGGCACGCCCACCTATCACAAAATTCACTATAAAATAATGTGTTTTATATTAAGGCTATCGTATTTGCCCTCATCAGTTAGTGCCACTGTTGAGTAAGGTCCTGTCACTCGCCAGTGGCACCACTTGTACTTGTACTATACCCCTCATTGATAGCACGTCTAAGACTTTATCAAACATTTTTTTTTCGGAAAAGTGGCACGTTGATCCATAAAGGTTCGCCATCCCTGGCCTACACTCTCCCTTGCACTCATGCACATCGCGTTCGCCCAGTCCGTACCCTGAGCGTCGATGTGACGTCACGGCAGCCAGTTGCGCAGTTAACTCGACCACCCGGTCGAGTTAGTATCGCTAATTTTTCCCCAAATGTAACATGAAACAATTTAATTACATCAAAATGTATTGAAAAATCAACCAAAAAGTAATGAAATTAAAATATCAAAATGAATGCAAACAGATGGTAACAAACGTGTCCCTACGACTGGGCTTCAACTACGACGTGGATGCGGCCGTAGTCCGCGGCATATATCTGATGTGCCGCTACAATAAGGCCTGGGATGTCACACAGATCTCACCTTGGTGCGCTGTAAGTATCTAAATTATGTATTTTTTCTTTCTTAGTTAATTTTCCTGACTTGTCTTGACTAGAAAAGCTATTCATTTTGGGTCCTACAAGGGACGTCATTAAGTCTCAATCTCTACTTATTAAAAAAAGTTGCATTGCATTGTATGTTCAGTTGACAGCATCTTATACAAGACATGTACTTCTTTATGTTGTAAAATAACCCCTATGCAATGTCAATTACATAATATGCTACAGTGTTTAGCTCGAAGTGCTGTCGTCAGTAGGTCTGTAAAAGTAACTTGGCGACGAAGCTAATGTGGAATTGAAGTCGAAGTTACCACACTGGTAACGTCCTGGATGTGATCTTGAAGAATGCGTTTTTGGTATTACAAGTCCATAAATTACTTTTTCCAGTAGGAATGTAACCATGCAATCTTCTTGACTTACCCTGAGACGATTTAAATTTATGGTAATTTCGTCCCTTAATTTTACCAGGCATTCACCCGCGAAGACCTAAGACGCCTGGAATACGCGGAGGACCTTGAGACCTACTACAAGTATGGATACGGCAACGATCTGAACAAGAAGGTCGGATGCGCATACGTTAAGGACATGATGAGCTTCTTCTCTAAGCACGTGGAGAATGGTGAGTGAAAATATTACCTCCCTTATTTACAGGGTGGAAAAAAATCATGATTTTTTTGATTTTATTGATTTATTATTGCAATCATTGCCTTAGTTTTTCATGCGGAAAACATGTTTATTTAGGTACAACTGAGGTATAATACTGGGAACAAGCCAAAAAAAGTAAATTATGTAAGATGGTATGTCATATTTTTACTGAAACAAGAAAAAACTTTCGTCAAAAACAGCTCGTCTTAAGTGGTGTCCGTTTCCATTACAAAAACATGAATATCTTAATACAATTAACTATAAATTTTTTTTTTCGCAAAAAGAAAATTTATGGAAAAATATTTTTTTACCAAATTTTCATACAAAACGGCTATTTCACACTTGAACACCTAAATCAACATTGTTTTCGAACATTATAGTTGATTAATATGCACTTCCAGTGTTGCATTAATTCCATTTTCGGATATTGATTTAAATCAGTGATTTTTATAAAAAAAATCATGCAATAAAAATCGTGATTTAAATCATGATTTAAATCATGCAACCCTGCTTATTTACACACACTATTATTATACACTTTTGTATGAATGTATTATAGCATAATGTTGGTTGGGGAAAATATCAGTTCAGTACTTACAAACTTACAAGGCGATCGAGTTTACTGCGCATCTGGCAGCCATTACGTCACGGCACGGACGGGGCGAACGTGAAGACGTGTGCGGTTGAGTGCGAGGAGAGTCGCGTTCCAGCGAGGTGCGCTTAGCTGGATCGGATTGTAGTAGTATTTGCCAGTGTAGCGGTTTTAGATTTTCAAGAATAATTCTTCCACTGTGGCAATTTATCTGTAACAATGACTATCATGACACATACTCGTAATAATAGCGCAACAGCTTCGCTGTCGGACTGCCCATTCAAGGGTTGGTAGTTCGATCTTCGTCAACCGCTGAAGTACTATCCTACCCACTCCCAACACTATCATATAACTAAGTATTCTGGTGTCAACGGGAATCTAATACAGCAATCTTTAAAATATCCCTTCCAGAAATGCCCCAACAGCCTCAAGTCATGGTGCATTTGACGGAAGCCCCAGCCATACTACTAGCACTAGGGGCCATGGCGACCCATCAAGACACTGTACCACTGACTGGGGACAACTACCACAGCGCCGCCATACAAGCTCGCAAGTGGGCCAGCTCGAAGATGGCGCCTTTTAACGCCAACCTGGCCGCTGTTCTGTACAAGTAAGTCCCTAGCTTGAGCCATTAGACGGCCAGCCTTATTCCAGTGTAATGCTACTAGACAGCCAGCCATATTTCTGGCGCTCACGGGGTCAAATAGGTACCACAGCGCCGCCAGACAAGCGCGCAAGTGGGCCAGTTCTAAGATGGCGCCTTTTAACGCCAACCTGGCCGCTGTTCTATACAAGTGAGTCCCTAGCTTGAGCCATTAGACGGCCAGCCTTATTCCAGTGTAATGCTACTAGACAGCCAGCCATATTTCTGGCGCTCACGGGGTCAAAAAAGTACCACAGCGCCGCCAGACAAGCGCGCAAGTGGGCCAGCTTTAAGACGGCGCCTTTTAACGCCAACCTGGCCGCCGTTCTATACAAGTGAGTCCCTAGCTTGAGCCATTAGACGGCCAGCCTTATTCCAGTGTAATGCTACTAGACAGCCAGCCATATTTCTGGCGCTCACGGGGTCAAAAAAGTACCACAGCGGCGCCATCCAGGCGCGAAAATGGGCCAGCTCTACCATGGCGTCTTTTAACGCCAACCTGGCCGCAGTTCTATACAAGTAAGTGCCTAGCTTGGGCCATTAGACGGCCTGCCTTATTCCTGTGTAATGCTACTAGATGGCCGGCCATATTTCTGGCGCTCACGGGGTCAAATAGGTACCACAGCGCCGCCATCCAGGCGCGAAAATGGGCCAGCTCTACCATGGCGTCTTTTAACGCCAACCTGGCCGCGCTGTTCTATACAAGTAAAATTGAATTAGATAGACATATTTTTAGCAGTCCATTCTACTCTACTGGAGCTGCACTTTCTCTCTTCCTATGGATGGATATCTACTACCTTATGAAGAAATCACAGCGGTGCACGGTAAAACCAAAACTGGTTTTTGTGACATCGTCAATGCTGGTCATTATTAATGTTTGGAAATACTATGTAACTTGTTTTAAACAAAATAAATAAATAAATAATATGCGAATCTCTACATCCTTCTGGCCAGCGTGAGGAGTGTAGATTCAAATCTTCCATTTGCATCTGGAAAGCAGTCCTTCGTGGAGTCACCGAAGATATGGAATACAACCAAATCTCATAGCGATGTTTAGCTTCCAGCGATACCTGGGGTTGTAGATCTGCCAGCAATCTTTGTTTTCAGACATTTATCGGGCAGTCTTTCTGAAAGTCCATGTTTTCTTCTGTCGGAGAGAAATGAGAACCAATGGCTCTGTAACTCAGTGGTAACAGTAAGAAGCTGTATCGTCCGAAATATCTGTGATTTCAAATAGAGGCACCTAGATATCTCAGAATCAATCTCTTACTTGTAATTATAGGCACTATAGAATGTATTTTTTTCCTCAGATGCACCCTGAACGGTAACTTCCAAATCAACGACCAGTACCAAGTGCTCCTTCTGGAGAACGAGAGGCCGATATCGCTGGACTGGTGTCGCGTAGGGCTCTGCGAGTGGTCCCAAGTCGTCAGCAAGTTGGGCGAAGTCGCCAACGCCTGCGACTTAGAAGCGTGCAACGGGGCAACTGCGATCGGGCAATTTGTAGCGATTACCGTGGCTTTGGTCTTCTTTGCTGTTCGGTCGCTGGTTTAAAAGGAAATCAATTGGAGACTTGGTAATGTTGAGTTCCAAAATAACAAATTCGGTTTTGCTTGCTGCAGTGTCGCTAATTTAGCTTTATGGGCCAGTTTACTAGAACAGAAAACCTGAAATGCTTGGAATTCTTCGCAAGAAAAAAATACCGACCGAATTGAGAACCTCCTTTTGTTGAAGTCGGTTAAAATTGTCATAGTAACTTACAAATAGAAAGTGCGAATCTGTAAATTAACTAAAAAAATGTGTCGGGTTTTATTTTGGACCAGTGAAATCCAAAAATACTTAATGTTTTTAGAGGTTTAGCCCAAGCAAGTTTAAGAGAGTTCCCATAAGTAGTTTCAATACAATAGGTACCTATCTTGATTTAAAACCAAATTGATGTATATTCAATTCATATTAATTAGTTAAACTAAATACTTCATTATTATGCCATAGTATTCATGATGTTATAAATTTCTCATTACATGAACTTATGTAGTCGACTTATCGTCAATTCCACCATATTTAGATAAAATATTGTAATTATTTAATTATAAAGTATTTTGTCATTATAGGTAAGTAATTTGTGATAGTTGTAGTTTAAAAAATCTGACGATCGACTTATGAAATTCCATTTCATAAACAGGTATGACATCATACATTAATTATTAACTACTTATTATAAATGTTGTTGTGAGACTATTAATTTTAACGTTTAATCATGTTTTGTTATACTTTTATGTACTTAGCTACTTATTAGCAAAATATACTAAGCTGTAGGTACGAATAATAAAACATAGCGCTACTTATTATTTATGATGCAAAGCTTGTATAAATGTGGTTTAGACAAGAAACCTGCGGGGTTAGGTACTACGAAAAACGTTATCCGAAGTTTCGAATGTTGCTATCCCTCTCACGCAAAGCGATATGCCAGCGCGAGCGACGGTGACAGATAGACCCGAAACTACGTAAACCACGTTTCGGAGTAGTCCCCCTGTTTCTTTTTAAATAATGATAATATTTCAATGTTTCAATAAATAATAGTACTTTCCTAGTCCATCAAAAAGCCAATGTTTCGAGGACCTTACCGCTTAAGCGCCCACCAATGAGGATCATTTCGATTTTTAGCTGTGAATGCAGATTTATAGGGCTAAGAAATCCTTAATACACAGTGCAAAAATTTTTGTTCTACGACAAAAATTGACGAAGTTATGGCCAAATTACTAAAAAAGTTCACTGACCGCCCGGCGCGGGAACGATGACGTCATTATATCCGATCCGAACGCTGCCGGCGTACTGCGTGGATAGAAAATATTTTTTTCTAGCCAAATTATTAGTTTTAGAGAAAAACTTGTAATGACATTTATTCATCAGAATAAAGTAAGCTATCGATAAGTAATTTTTAAAAATGGAAATTGTGAAAAATAACGCAAAAAATCCATATGCTCATAAGATTCAATCGCACGCAAAGACGCGATTGGGGTCTCCGCGGTGGTATATTTGGCGATTTATTCAAATAAAGTGTACATAAGTGTTGTTAGAGTCATATCTTCTTCCAAGTAAAATATAAAAATGTAAAAATGCCTCCCCCCAGGCCAGAAGCTAGGTAAGGCTTGCCCCTACCCCCAGGCCATAAGCATAAGCTGGATATGACTCCCCTTCGGCCAGAAGCTGGGTATGACACCCCCCCATGCCAGAAATGCCAGAAACTGGGTATGACTTGACCCCCCCCCCTTTTTTTCTAAAACTGATAGTTTAGCCGGAAAAAAATATTTTCCATCCCATTAGTACGCCGGCTGCGCTCGATTCGGATATAATGACGTCACGCGGCCTTGCGTACGTTGACTTTTAGCGGCAAAAACGGCCTATGTTTATTACTTAATATCTTCGTAAGTAATGGTCCGATTTGGATAATTCAAAAAGATATATCTTTCTTATGTCTTAAAGATTAACGTAGATACTAGTTTTATTGAATTTTCTACAACAGTACTGATCCTCATTGGCGCCACCAGCGAGTGATTGGACCTTATTCTACAGTGGCGCCAACTGAAGAAGGTATACAGTATACACGATAGCCCTCATTGTAAGTCTAGAGCCCGTAGATATACAAAGCGGACTATGTTCACCCTCAAAAAAGTATTAACTCTGTAAATTCAATCTCAATTAATCGCAGATTCGATACGAGTCTAGCTAGACCAGGGTTTCTCAAACTTTCGGCTCCACGAACCCCTGTTAAAGGTTCCAGGGGTCAGCGCACCCCTTAACTAGCCATTTAATTCCGGGTGTGCCTATTTCTTGTCGCAAATGTAGTCAACTTTATGATTGATTTTGGTCAATATTTCAATCTTAATTCTGCCACCATGACGTAAATCTTGTCGCGCACCCCCTAGCGTCGAATGGCGAACTTCTAGGGGTTCGCGTACCATACTTTGAGAAACCTTGAACTAGACCATCGATATTGTAAGTGGCCTAGAGCGATAACACACTGTATCTAATCAGGATCTGAGAAAAGTTGACCCAAAGAAGTAATAGTATTATTTGTAATTATTATGCTTTCAGCGTATCGGAGGCAGTCAGTGCCTTAACGCTCTTACAGTGACTTACAACTGAGTCATAGACAAACTTAAAATCACACATTATTGTACGCAAGTACAGTCAGCGTCAAATAGTCCGTGACAGCCAAAGTGGCCAAAAAGTTCGCATCGCGTCTTTGTTACAATAAAATTGGAATAAGGATGTTGTGTTGTCAAATTTTTGGCCACTTTCGGTGTCACGAACTACACTCGACAGCAAATAAATCGCACCACCACAAGCACTTTCAAACGTATGCATCCCCACTTCACATCAATATTGGTACCATTCAAAAGCCTAGTTCTAAACTTCATTTCATTATAGGAAAGGTTTTTACCCCAAAAATGTTTCTTTAGAAGGATCCAGAGTCACTTCTTCAAAAAATAGATAGTTACGCTTGAGCCAACTTTTATGGCTATAAAACTGTTAAGTTGGGATTAATCGCTATCCATCTGTTAAAGAGGACACGTGTGATCATTATTTGGTTTTATAACCATAAAATTTGGTCTAATTGATCCCAGAGGTGAGCCCAAAGTGGGGTCTTTTTTCAAGTCACATTTATGGTATATGTTAATCATTTTTTTAAGGATATTTATTGGGCTTTCAAATAACACCAATATTGTTGGGGCACCATTATTGTGTCAAAAGAAAATCTTTAAAGTTCGCGTCGCGGGTGGTGCGATTTATTTGCTGTCGAGTGTATTTGACGCTGACTGTACCTAAATCAGTTTAACTGATCGTAGATTAGTTGTAAATGTTGTTTAATTGTTACTAAATAGAATACTTTACTAAACAGTTGCAAATGTTAATGTTGTATAGATTCTATTGCCGTTGTGAAATGCACCAAATAGAATAAATCTAATAGTACAAATATTGTGTTTTATTTATTTTACAGGAAAACTACTCAGTTTCTATTAAAACTGTTTATTGGCTTACAAAAAATAACAACTTATCAATAAATCACATTGGTGTCATACACAATTTTTGTTAACAGTTACATGTTATATACATATTATGTTGTGTGTAACAATTGCAATAAACAATATGCATTTATCCTTAAACATTATATCTTTGTAACGAAATTATTTAATCCGAAACTACTTTATGTTAAAAAGTAGGTACACAAACTGTGTTACAACAAATATATTGCTTATTTTTGCCTTTATTAATGCTTTTCTTTTCCTCATATTATAGTTCAGTTTTTGTTGAATATTCAGTTATTTAAAGTAAAAATAAACATGAATTTCAGTTTAAATAAGCTAGCAAAATCGATAAAACAATACACAACTAACTTTTAATTTAATATATATAAAATATACAGTCTGTACTCATTTCATACACACAAATCATTTGGACCAGTAAAAATAAAATCATAATATACATAATTATGTACTTATGTACTACCTAGTTTAGTTACGGATTATAATTATTAATTTGGCAACTATCTAAAATAATAATAACATATTATTACAATAGCAGCAAGCTGGTTTGATTACAATATGACTATAAAAATGGGACTAAGTTGATTATTTTGTCTATTAAAACACTATCATTTTACTAAATACATAATTTGTTGATTAGGGAACGAAAATTTAACTAAGAACAGATTTTTCAGTTGCTAGTTAACATGAAATTTAACATATTTATCAATACAAAAATTAACAAAATATTAAGTAAATATTGATAAAAGTTACAATGTCAAGCCTAAGGGGCATAACAAGTCCAAACTTTTCATTGTTTTTAGACCTCAAGCCAAGGGAATAAAGTTCCAAATATGGTGGGAACTAAATTCCCACTGCCATGTGAAGGGTTAAAATAAGTCCAATATAAGTGTTAAGTCGTATGTTTAATAACAATTCAATTCTAACAGTTCAACATGTATGAATTTTATAACCGTTAAAATGACGTCATGTTATTTTAACTGGCAACAATAGTTTCAAGGATCCTAATTTATTATTAACTAATATAGAAAAGTATTCTATCTTTACTAGGGACCAGCGCTAAGAAGTATATTATTGTTTTAAGGTTCGGCCAAACCAACGCGTGCAACCCGCGTGCTTGATGGCGATCACGTTCGCGTTCCAGAGGTTTGCCATGAAAAATTTCCGCCATTTAAAATCAGAAAAGTCAAAATAACAATCGCGATCTGATCATCACCGCCGCGTGAAGACGCTGCATAGATCGCCGCGACCAATGACAGTGGGTCTAGACAAAGTGCAAATTATAATCGCAAACCAGTCGAAAAGTGGTCGAAAAGCCCCTTTTTTGTATGGAGTTTTGACGGATTCGATTTTCGATTCGATCAAAAACTGCGTTTTGTCTAGGGGGGCTGGACGCGTTGATGTGAACTCATTGCTACAAATTCATACACAACATGTGCACGCAGACTGCACGCGTTGGTTTGGCCGAATCTTTATTCTTTGAGGATTCATAAATTCATTAGACAAACTTGACCGCGCAAATGATTCGTTGTAAAATAATACCACTAGGAACAATAATAATACAAAAAATATATATTTTACAGTGATGTCATTACAGTGTCTAAGCTGTAAAAGAATTAATTCAGTTTATTCATTTCCTTATTAATTGTAGCTGTATAAATTCTTCTACGATAACATGGCCAGCTATGTACATAAACATGTTATTTGTATAAATGCAAAATAAATAATTAATGACAAGGGTCCCTAAACCATTCTAAGTTCAATACTCAAGCAAGTACTGAAATCAAATATCGCTTATTTTATTAGGAAAGATGTTCTACTACATAAGAGCACCATTCGCAATTTTTACTAGATATAACCCAGTAGTTAAAAGCCTTCTCAAAGTTAGAAAAGATTAGGAGCCCCTGAAATTATTTATAGGCTATTTCAAATAAGACGTTTTGAGTCGTCCCGTTCGCAGGACTGCACACGGAAAATTGTATGACAACTGCGTTAGGATAAAAATGACAATTACCAACAGTTAGGCCCAGAACAGACGGCGAAACGCAACTGCAACTTTCTGATGATTCTTATGAATGAAACTGAAACTGAAAGTTTCAAACTGGTCGCGTCATGTGTGTTCTCTCAACGGACGCTATGGCAGAAACTTAGATGCAACTCAAAAGTAACTAGCAGTTCCAGTTTCTTTGCAGTTGCGTTTCTCCGTCTGTTCTGGGCCTTAGTGTGAGGTCTTATAAACACACCACTGTTTGTTTGCTCCAAAGAAGGTCTTATTAAAAAGTACCATAAAAGCTATTTTTTGTTTTTTTTTTATGCATTACAAGGCAGGTATTTGACCACAATCGCACCTGATGTTAAGTGGGATGCGGTCTAGGATGGTACATATCTGCCCTGTAAGTGCCTATTCACTCTCGCCTTGAAAAGGTCCGGATTATAGTTTTCGGGAAAGACAGCAGCAGGCAATGAATTCCATTGAATGTTGATTGAAAAAATCGGCAAGTTCCTCGCAAAGTATTGTATTAAAAGCGCGACTTGTCGCACGCAGCAGGCAGTGACTACATTACAAATTTGATAACCTAACTATTGTATAGATCACGTTCCGTCATGCGCACTGGAGGAGCTAATATGCCGAGTCCGTTTACCAACTCCAGTGGCGGATTTGTTCTTGTGTCTCTTTCTATCACTGTCTTCCTCACTCACACTGTTACACCTAGGTTTGGGGCTCATCATGGTATCGGAACTCACCGATTCCCTTTGGGACTTCTTGCGTTGACGTTTGGGTATACTTTCGCCTATCAGCATCTCGTTGAACTGGCGTTGCCTGGCCTCCCAGTACAGGTTTTGGCGCTGGATGACGTCAGGGTATTTGGCCTCGAAGGCCGTGTCTGGTGGTATGAGGAGTTCCCAGCCAGTGCGGGGGTTGTATTTGGCGACTGACTGAAGAATTTCCAGCACTTCGAGGGCCGGGAGACGAACTGCTGCGGCGAACTTCCGCCGGTCCACGTACGGGTGTTGTGTGAAGAGGTAGAGCTGGAAGAAATAAAAAAAAAATTGTGAGGGAAGGAAAAGTGCTGCGTAAACTGTAAGTTGAAGAACTGACTACCCATGATGCAGTAAGGTTCTGGAGTTGAACCAACGACCTCATAAAGGTAGCAGAAAACCTGATACATGCCGCTACCATCCGGTCAATATGGAAATCATTGAGGAGGCCTATGGATCAGCGGTGGACATCCTGTGACTGAAATGATGATGACGAAAGGACATGGATCTACAGCTACCAGTGGTTATGGTCGGTGGCCTGTAGTGGTTATGGTCGGAGGCCTGTAGTGGTTATGGTCGGTGGCCTGAAGTGGTTATGGTCGGTGGCCTGTAGTGGTTATGGTCGGTGGCCTGTAGTGGTTATGGTCGGTGGCCTGTAGTGGTTATGATCGGTGGCCTGTAGTGGTTATGATCGGTGGCCTGTAGTGGTTATGATCGGTGGCCTGTAGTGGTTATGATCGGTGGCCTGTAGTGGTTATGATCGGTGGCCTGTAGTGGTTATGATCGGTGGCCTGTAGTGGTTATGATCGGTGGCCTGTAGTGGTTATGATCGGTGGCCTGTAGTGGTTATGATCGGTGGCCTGTAGTGGTTATGATCGGTGGCCTGTAGTGGTTATGATCGGTGGCCTGTAGTGGTTATGATCGGTGGCCTGTAGTGGTTATGATCGGTGGCCTGTAGTGGTTATGATCGGTGGCCTGTAGTGGTTATGATCGGTGGCCTGTAGTGGTTATGATCGGTGGCCTGTAGTGGTTATGATCGGTGGCCTGTAGTGGTTATGATCGGTGGCCTGTAGTGGTTATGATCGGTGGCCTGTAGTGGTTATGATCGGTGGCCTGTAGTGGTTATGATCGGTGGCCTGTAGTGGTTATGATCGGTGGCCTGTAGTGGTTATGATCGGTGGCCTGTAGTGGTTATGATCGGTGGCCTGTAGTGGTTATGATCGGTGGCCTGTAGTGGTTATGATCGGTGGCCTGTAGTGGTTATGATCGGTGGCCTGTAGTGGTTATGATCGGTGGCCTGTAGTGGTTATGATCGGTGGCCTGTAGTGGTTATGATCGGTGGCCTGTAGTGGTTATGATCGGTGGCCTGTAGTGGTTATGATCGGTGGCCTGTAGTGGTTATGATCGGTGGCCTGTAGTGGTTATGATCGGTGGCCTGTAGTGGTTATGATCGGTGGCCTGTAGTGGTTATGATCGGTGGCCTGTAGTGGTTATGATCGGTGGCCTGTAGTGGTTATGGTCAGTGGCCTGTAGAGGTTATGGTCGGTGGCCTGTAGTGGTTATTAAGGTCGGTGGCCTGTAGTGGTTATGGTCGGTGGCCTGCAGTGGTTATGGTCGGTGGCCTGTAGTTGTTATGGCCGGTGGCCTGTAGTGGTTATGGTCGGTGGCCTGTCTCACTCACTGCGTGGTCCCTAGCAGCGCACAGCAGCCGCTGCGGCACGCGGGCGGCGCGCGTGTACAGCGAGCCCGAGCGCGCCGCCCACACGCCGCGCACGCAGCACGCGCTCGCGCTCAGAGCTGATAGTAGCGCCTGCTCCGGTAACTGGCCTTCGTCGGCGTTTCAATTTATAACATGATTTCGATGATGCGGGATTGCAAACCCTACCTGCGACCGCTGAGAATGCATCCCAGACTGCTCGATGCGACCAATAAATACTGGAGACTGGAGACGTGGCGTGAACTTTTTTTTATGGTCTAAAAGGGGGCGCGTCTCAAAAAAGCTTGAGAACCCCTGGTTTAAAACATTGTAATGGCCACCAACTACTAGTGGCGTCCTCCGACCTTCTTACTTCGGTACCAAAGGACCCTGCCATGTCTTTTGATTCCTTATAGTACGCAGAACTAACTGCTGATGGTGCAGCAAGGTTCTGGAGTAGGAAAAAAGCTCAAAAGCGTAGCGTGGGACGTTCACCCACAAGGTGGACGAACGTCCCCGTCGTGAAGGCGCTGGAGGCAGGCCGCTAATAATAAATCTATATGGAAATTATTGAAGTACGTCCTGTAGCTTAAATGATGACTGGTGGTTATGGTAGGTGGTCCGTTTTGAGCGGGGTCTCACTCTCTATATTTTTTGAATAATTTCTATATTTTTGAGGTCCCTTGTCTAAAAGTCGTCTGGGGTCCCTATAAGTCTGAGCACTACTCACTGCGTGGTCCCTAGCAGCGCACAGCAGCCGCTGCGGCACGCGGGCGGCGCGCGAGTACAGCGAGCCCGAGCGCGCCGCCCACACGCCGCGCACGCAGCACGCGCTCGCGCTCAGCGCTGATAGTAGAGCTGGCTCCGGCAGCTGGCCTTCGTCGGCGTTTCATTTTATAACATGACTTCGAAGATGCGGGATTGTAAACCCTACCTGCGACCGCTGAGAAAGCATCCTAGACTGCTCCATACGACCTATGAATAATCTGGACTAGAGGCAGGGCGTGAACTCTCTTTTATGGTCGAAAGGAGGCGCGTCTCAAATAAGTTAGGGACCCCTGGTTTAAAACATTGTAATGGCCACCGACTACTAGTGGCGGCTACTGATCTCCTTACTTCACGCGGTACTAAAGGACATGGCAGGGCTCATAGTACGCAGAGCCGCCGGATACAGCCGGTCAATATGGAAATCATTGGGAGGGGCCTATGTTCAGCAGTGGACGTACTTTTGCTGAAATGATGATGATGATGAAAGGACATGGCCTTACAGCTACCAGTGGTTATGGTCGGTGGCCTGTAGTGGTTATGGTCGGTGGCCTGTAGTGGTTATGGTCGGTGGCCTGTAGTGGTTATGGTCGGTGGCCTGAAGTGGTTATGGTCGGTGGCCTGTAGTGGTATGGTCGGTGGCCCGTTTAGAGCGGGGTGTCACTCACTGCGTGGTCCCTAGCAGCGCACAGCAGCCGCTGCGGCACGCGGGCGGCGCGCGTGTACAGCGAGCCCGAGCGCGCCGCCCACACGCCGCGCACGCAGCACGCGCTCGCGCTCAGAGCTGATAGTAGAGCCGGCTCGGGTAACTGGCCCTCGTCGGCGATTCATTTTATAACATGATGCGGGATTGCAAACCTAATGCAACCTACCTGCGACTGCTCGATGCGACCAATAATTTGTACTGGAGGGTGGCGGGCGTGGACTTTTTTTTATGGTCGAAAAGGAGCGCGTCTCAAATAAGTTAGGAAAGCCCTGTTTTAAAGCATTGTAATAGCCATCCTTACTTCGGTACCAAAGGACATGGCAGGGCTCATAGTACGCAGAGCCGCCGGATACAGCCGGTCAATATGGAAATCATTGGGAGGGGCCTATGTTCAGCAGTGGACGTACTTTTGCTGAAATGATGATGATGATGAAAGGACATGGCCTTACAGCTACCAGTGGTTATGGTCGGTGGCCTGTAGTGGTTATGGTCGGTGGCCTGTTTAGACCGGGGTGTCACTCACTGCGTGGTCCCGGGCGGCGCACAGCAGCCGCTGCGGCACGCGGGCGGCGCGCGTGTACAGCGAGCCCGAGCGCGCCGCCCACACGCCGCGCACGCAGCACGCGCTCGCGCTCAGCGCTGATAGTAGAGCCGGCTCCGGTAACTGGCCTTCGTCAGTACGGACGAGCGCGCGAAGGTCGTTGAACGTCATCAGTTTTGCTGGGAACAAACATTGACAGAATAAATATTATGTACTACTACTTTTTGCCTGCTAAATTTCGGCCTGTCACAAAAGCACCGCGCGCGCAATGGCGTAACTATACCATCCGAGCCCCGTTGCAAATTCTGTGCATTCTTGGCGTATCTAGGGACCCATTGCGATATACGAGGGTCTCATGCCCACTAGGCCTAATGCCCGTTTTCACCATCAATCCCTAATTTTTAAGTGACCCCTAAGGTAACACATAACTGGAATTTTGTTTTCATAGACTTAAAAATTAGGGATTGATGATGAAAACGGGCATTAGGCTTTCTGGTTGGGGGCTGGGACATTTTGCCAGCCCTGCCACCCTATAGTTACGCCACAGCGCGCACATTTATCTCGCTTTTAAAAACTGGGATAAAAACTATCAATTGTTTTTCCCTGGGTTTCAAACTACACATCTCTATATCAACACACACGCTTTTAATAAAGTAGACATGGTTGCAACAATGCTACATAATTTATAATCATTGGAAACACATTCCGGCCATCAATTTTGGTGCAAACTTCATATAATCATTACAAAAATTTCAACCATTTCCATCAATTTTCTCACCATTTCTATATGCAATAAAGTATAAAATGTGTAAAGTAATGACATTAAAATTATGTAAAACCAACGCCTAATTTCAATGACGCCTAGTAGTAGTTTTTTTTTTTTTTTTTTTTTTTTTTTTTTTTTTTTTNTTTTAGTTAGTTAGTCATGAGTTAGGCGTTAGGCAGTTCGATTTTTTCAAGTTATTTATAATTTTCAAATTAGTTTGAGATGCGACTCTTATTAACGCTAAAAAATAAATATGTAACTATGCGTTAACTAAATGACAACTTAAATCCACTCACCATTGATAAGTATCTGCGTAATCTGATCCTGCGGCGAGGGCCTGGTGGCGGGAGCCACGTCTGCCTCGTCAGGCGGCGCGGGCGGCACCAGCGTTCGGATGTAGTCCTTCGCCCGGACGGTCAGCGCCGACCCGTCTGCTGACGTCATGCTGAACAGCTTGAGACGCTCGAGCTGGGAATAGAAGCGTCAATTAGTTATGACTAGCGGCCATCCGCTACTTCGTACGCGTGGACCTCGTTTTTACCCTCGTTAGATATCATATTGATAGACGACGTTTCATGGCTCTCCCATATTTACGAACGTTAAAAACAGTAGTTTGTCCAGCGCTGTAGATTTTAACCAATGACAAGACGTGTCTAAAAAGCGCCATAGATGCGTCATCCCTCTGCGATGTGCATCGGCGCTGTTCAGAACTTGGTCTCGGGATAAAGCCACCAGTCTCCCGAAAGCGTCTGCTTATGAGGAGCTGACGTGCGACAGCCCGCTGGCTGAGCCCTTCTTGCAATAGTGCAAGGATTTGTGCAGCTTCTGAAGGTGTAGAATCCCAGGTAAACTGTCAAAAGAAGCTGATATGTGTATGGATCAACGTGTGAAAGCAAAAATCCGAAAACACATAGTGCAGCACTGGATCAACAGAGAGAAGTCATTCAAAGTAAGATAACAATAAAATTGCTAAAATAAATACTACCTTCATTTTAAAGCTATTGCATAAGGGTTGCATTTCATTCACAGTATATTTCAATCACAAACAGTGAGTGCTTATCTGCCCCAGTTTTAGCTAATTATTTTTACTACCTATTCAAATAAAAGTAAATACACTTTAAAAACAACTTGAACTAGAAAATGCCTAACCTAAGTTTTCAGTAATAAGTAGCAAAATAGGTAAAATTTTAAACTTCTTACTTCTGCTTGATCTGTATCAGAATGTCTCCACAGGGCGTCGAACCAGGGCTCTTCAGATATCCGCTGGGAAATGGTTTCGAATGATTTCTCGCGTGCTTTCTTCGCTAAATCAGTCTCTTGACGCGCGAATTTCACTGTCACCTGAAACCAAATAACATACTCCTAAGTAAAAAATATAGAATTGTGTTAAATAAGATTACTCATAGCATACTAAAGATAGACAAAGTTAGATATACAGACAAACACTCTTTTGTTCCGCTATTATCAAAGAAAGCATTGGGTACAGTGTGCTAACAGTATTTGACTCTCTTCACTCTTCTAGCTTTATATCAAAACAATAGAAGTCTTTTTATTTAATCTGTATCCATTTCCTCATGTTATTTCACAGAAACCAAAAAATCAGTTTCTTCTTTTGCAGCATTTTACCAATACAAAGAATCTGGGCCTTTTCAAGGTGAGTGAGTAGTCACTTATATCAAGGGTAAGTATGTACTACCCTAGACTGCATCTCATTTAACATCAGGTGTAGTGCAAAAAAGTTCATTGTTAATTAATTTTCAACAAAACAATCAAAACAGTAAAAAAAGATCTTACCTGTTGTGCTTCCGGTTCTTTTTCTTCTTCGTCAGATTCTTCAGCCTTACTCTTGTCCTGTTTACGTTTGTCTTGTTTGTCGAAGTAAGAATAAGACGGCCGCAACTGCACTATACCTGAACAACAAAATTAACGTTTTCATTAAACCATCAAACCCAAAACAGTTGTATGGATTATATGACATTTATATTGTTATATTAAGGGCTGATTTTTCAATAGTCAGATATCTTTAAACTGAAGAATAACCTTGTCATTTTGACATATTTACTTACTATATTACTACTAGCTTTCCGCCCGCGGCTTCGCCCGCGTGGAATTTTGTCTGTCACAGAAAAAGTTTATCGCGCGCGTCCCTGTTTCAAAAACCGGGATAAAAACTATCCTATGTTCTTTCCCGGGACTCAAACTATCTCTATGCCAAATTTCATCAAAATCGGTTGCGAGGTTTAAGCGGGAAAGCGTAACAGACAGACAGACAGACAGAGTTACTTTCGCATTTATAATATTAGTTGGGATAACTGTCAATGTGCCAAACTTATTTGTCAGTCAAAAGTTATCCGACGATTGAAAAATCAGCCCTTACTCAATAAAAAGCAATACTGTAAACACAATAATGTTAGCGCTCCTGCACACGACGCCGCCACATTGGCGCACGGTGGGCTGATATTAGAGCTTCATAGACTTAGCGTCGCTCAAAAATCAAGTGCCTAATTTTGAAAAAATAAATATGCCAATGTTTTCCCTTACCAAAAAGGAATATTTTATGTTAAATAATAACTTTATCAAGAAACGTTACATAACATAAAATATTCCTTTTTGGTAAAGGAACACATTGGCATATTTATTTTTTCAAAATTAGGCACTTGATTTTTAAGCGACGCTAAGTCTATGAAGCTCTAATATCAGCCCACCGTGCGCCGCCGCGCAATGTGGCGGCGTCGTGTGCAGGAGCCCTTACAGTATGATGCAATATTTTTTTTAATATGGCTATATCTTAATATCATTTACATGGACAATTAACAGGACAAAAGTATTAAGACACTAAAATCACATTCACTAGGTACTAATAAATATTTAGAAGATTTTAACAGTAAAATAATAAATAAAGACACTTTACTGTACACCACACACAAAAAAAAAGAAAGCAAGAGATACATAGGGACAGTACAATTAATTTAGGCAATCTTATCGTAATAAAGCTTCCAGATAATGTTACCTTGTATTGGAGTGCAGTGCAACTCCTTGTCTTGCAGTATAGCAACAGCATAGTGCTGCGTTTCACTGCATGGGGAACTACTTTCGTACACTATCTTGTCCATGATGCCATGCCGGAAATACTGGGCTCTGTCTTTTTCTTTCACATGCCATGAAGATTCCTAGCAAAATATACAGTAATTTATTAATATTCATTACAAAAAGCATAAATTTACTGTTGTTGCCATAAATTATTGGCTTATTTGGAATAAAAGTACTGTTACAACATAGTCTACAGCATATGGCATATTTGTCTAAAGGTACTTGGACAATAATACCATGCTGTTGTATGAATATGTACTTAGATTATGAATTTTTTAAAGTAATTAACGTTACCTGATGTCCATCAGTATTTAGCGCAATCTGCTCGCCCTTAGATTGACAATATTTATCGCTGTAAGTGTCTAATTCAACCTCGAGCCTCACCAACTGGTTTTTAGGCTTGATTGAGGCATTCAGTACTTTAACATCTTTCCAATCTCTATTCGCTGGCCTGACTGGATACTGATAAATATAAAGATTCTTCGAAAGGGCCTGGGATAGAAAAACTGGAATCTGAAATTAGAAACAGCACAGAAAATCAGTTTAAAATCCATTTTTATGAACAACAACATAACCTCATCGGGTGTACCACGTTGCTAATTACAAGCGGGTCTTTCCAGTACCTCTTGAACAATGGGATCATCCTCTTCCATTTTAATATGAGCTAGTAATCGACAAACACTACAGCATATCAAATTAAATTCACAAACTGAGAGACTTGCTCGAGTGATATGACGAGAAGGTATTTCTCTCTAATCTGTGATTTTTGTTTGACAGCTGTGTACCATAGACAAAACAGATGGATGCCTCATGCCACAGATCTCGTTTATTCATCCTAAGATAAGGCTGCATTCATACCCACTAGATAGGAGAAGAGGAGAGGCAAGAAGCGGAGCGGAGCTGTACCAATAGGATAGGATTGCTTGAAATCTCTGCTTAGTTTGTTCATTACCATTCAGTATTATAAAATACCTATATTAACAGTTCGGGTCTAGGATAGCACGGTGTAAAATATCCAAATCATGAAGGTCATAATATTCTGATTTAGCCGTAGGATTTAGCAGACTTCTGGAGTACTGGTCAGAAAGAATATTTTAAAAGGATAATCCCTGACACATTAATTTCACTCAAGTCGCTGACAATACACGAAATATTTACTTTTTGAATGTTTTTACGAGATAATTATATTTTTTGAGAGAATAACTTTACCTCACTGTAATTACTATGTTTTTCTCGGTAATAAGCAATTAATTTCTTTTTTACAAGGTCATACGCAATTTTAAATTTCATTCAACATGTCTGATATGATAATAAATGGTAAGTACTTACCTACTATGTTGATTTTTTAACAGTGTAAGTAAAAGAGAGAGACTTGAAAGAACTTAATCAATACGTCGTTAAAGTAACTTATTCATTAGATGAAAGTCAGTAAACGATATTATCAATAACTGGGTTGAGTGAGCTTTATATTAGTGACCTCCAATTCCAATTATTTCATTTTCAGATTCTGTGCCAGTGGATAAAAAATGGAATGAATTAATAAAATACAACATATTTATCATGAAACTAGTAGAATTTGTAAGTATTTTGAATTGATTCAATTTTACATTATCAAAGTTGCAAATAGAGTTTCATAGAAAAAAAAATCCCTTCATTCGCCTCGTATGAGGATTGAAGAACAATATTCATTTAGATCGTTCTCCAATAATTTTATTGTTTGTATTTCCTTGGTTGTAGGGTATTTCTCTAGTAATCACGGTATTACCACTGATATTACCAAGGCCAAAAGGACACATGTACTGCATATCTACTGGGCCTACGCTTATTATATCGTTAATATTCATTGCCCTATATTTACGGAGAAAAGTACCTTTATTCATGGAGAAAATGTACTTATTTTTTCAAATTATGTTTACATTTGGTGCTTTTATGCAATGTTTTTTATTAAATTTAGTAAGGGTGTGGTTGTGGTTACTGTATGGTGTTTTGTATTTTGGACTGTTGACTGCATTGTCTCTTGATTTATTTCTGATAGCTAATGAAAGAGGATGTACTTTTAGTTGCGCGTAAACGTTAAACTGTAATTATTCCATTAATATACATTTAATTTATTTTATCTTTTGTTTATTTTATTTTAACTAGTAAAGGCCTGCCCTTAAATAATTTTTAGATTCAGTAGGTGTATATCATAGACAAGAATGTCCCGCTTTTGAAGGGGAGGCTAGCAGTCGTTCAAATAAATCAACTGACAGACGTTCAAATAAATCAGCTGATCATTCTGTCATATTCTGTCATGTCAAAAGTTTGTGAATTTCATTTTCCTGTATTTTCCGCGGTTTTAAATTAGATTTTACTTTTCCGCTAAATATTTATCTAAATTAAGTAGTAAACATTTAACCTTTAGTTTTTGAACTCCTTTATGAGATTAACAAGTACATGAGAATCGAATAACTTCGATTAAATTGATGTGAACAATGAGTTAGGCAGGTAAGAATATGTTTCGATCCAATCAAAACATGAATGCGTTTACTTTTAGGTAATATCAATGCTTCTCATGATCCTACCGTTCATCATGACTGAACCGGGCGTCATGTATTGCCTGGCCGTGTCCCCGACGGTTATAATGTCAGTTATGTTCGTGGTGCTGTATTTAGTGGATCAAGTACACGATTTAGCCGAACAATTATACCTTGCAATACAAATATTCCTATGTGCCACGGGCCTAACCGCTAATGTACTGTCCATGAGTGCCGTTGGTGCCGTGTACGGTGTATTTATTACCCATTTATTTGTTGCCCTATGTATAGATCAGTACTATGTTTTCAAGGAAAGAGGCTTTGTACTGTTCAAGTAATGTTTTATGTGAATAAAATTTTTGAGAATATGATTACACTTATTATTCCATATTTACAATTAACTCTTGCTAGAAGAAAGTTTATTTCAGAATTAGCACAGATAATATAATACTAGTTCGATTGATAGTCATGAGCTTTGTTTTAAGACAAAGAAAATTACAAAATATTTTTTGCATTTAACAGAATTTTACAGCGTTCTAAATTAATATTAAAATCCATTTTTTTTTAAAGTTCTATGCAAAAGTGAACAAACCGTCGTGTCTTACTTTTAGGTAGTGGCCCTCCTACTCAATGTTCTCCCCCATGTGGTGGACCCAGTGGACCTCTTGCAATGCCTGGTGGCCGCCCCCACGCTCATGCTGTCCGTGCTATTCATGGTGCTATACGTTGTCGACCAGGTACAATATGAGGCAGAACTATACTACGTTGCCACCGAACTCTTCATCACAGCACTCGCAATGATCAGCCTCTTCCTCAGTGGAGAAGTCCGAGGAGCCATATACGGCCTCTTCTACCTTGACCTTATCATAGCCTTCAGCATGGATATTTATTACATGCACAAGGAAAGAGGCTGGACATATTAAAAATATTGAAATTATCTACAGTGCCATAACGCTGATTACTCATACTTATCCTGAAGTGTGATAATACTACATCCTGTTACAATTAAATGTGGCTAGTTCAAATATATTTTATTTAAAAATGTGTACCAAAGTATTACAAGCTCTTGTGAACTGTATCAAGTTTTTTACATTCCGTTTATTTAAAATGTTATTACGGTTGACATCAGGGATTCGAAGAAACTCTGTGCATAAATGTTTGTGGATATTAATCATTGTTGCTGTGATAATGTATTTTACTTGCAAATATAATTTGAGAAGTAAAAATTGGGGTGGTGCAAAGCTCACTCCTAAACATCCAGTGATTATGTGGTGGACCTCCAATTTTGGTGGTTTTGTTGGAACTAGAACATGTGCCAGAAATATTAAATGTGATATGCTTAGTGATAGAAACGAGAGCCATGCCTACAAAGTTGAGGCATACTTATTTTATGGAAGCCAAATTAAGGTAGATGACCTGCCGCCTCGAAACTCTAAAGATGTATGGGGGTTGTATCATGAGGAGTCTCCAAGGAATTTGGAGGAACTGATGCATGAACCCATGCTCAATTTATTCAATTTCTCTGCTACGTTTAGCAGACATAGTAATGTGCCATTTCCTTTGCAATATCTGGAGTCTTTGGAAGCTGTAACAGATGGGCAACACTTTGTTTCTACTAAAGTAAAAAATATGTTGTTGACTGAAATAGCTCCAGTGATGTATCTACAGAGTGATTGTGAAACTTCCACGGAAAGAGACTCTTACGTGAAAGAACTTATGAAGCATATAGAAATAGATTCTTACGGAGCATGCCTTAAGAATAAAGAAATGCCTGAAAAATTCACAGGTGACTACTTAAATAACTTAAATGAGAATGATTTTCTCGATTTTGTTGCAAGGTACAAGTTTGTGATTGCAATAGAGAATGGAGTCTGTGAGGATTATATCACTGAAAAGTTTTGGAGGCCCATCAAAGTTGGGAGTGTACCGATTTACTTTGGATCTCCGTCAATAAAAGATTGGTTTCCGAATGATAAATCTGCTATACTTTTAGATGATTTTACAACCCCAGAAATTTTAAGTACGCATTTAAAGAAGCTTTTGGCAAATGACAGTTTGTATGAAGAGTACTTAGAGCATAAGACTAAACAGATTATTACAAATACAAAACTTGTTAAAGAATTAAAAGAAAGACCGTATCAGACTGATGGATTGGACACCGTTGAACGGTTTGAATGTTTCATTTGCGAACAACTACACAACAAAACAAATATAGGATCGAACATAGTGAATAAGAGCCATTATAACTGTCCGAAGCCCATATCTGCTTTGACATTGTCAGTAAATCCAACAAATCATTGGGTGTATTCATGGGATTATGCTAGAAAGAGCGCAGAACAATTATACAAACAACTAACAAATTAAAATAGTTTTTATTGGTATTAACTTTTTCAATATATTTTTATACAAGATATGATAAAGTATTTTCATTTATGATATTAGCTTATTGGCAGACTGCATCCAGCGGTGTTATAGCGTGTACGTTTTTGTGTAATCCTCTTTTGACGACGTGGGGAATTTTCTTTGGGACCATTCTGTGGATAAAAAATAATTTATGTTAATAACTTTTATAAAAATCACTTTAATCAATTAAAAAATATGTGTTAGCCAATACACAATATCGTCAAGACAGCCTAGCGCGAGTTATGTCAAATTTAATTTCGCTAATAGGGGACTCTAGTTCTGAGTTTTGGCTAGGAATCGAACCTGGGGCCCACTTCTACAAGATTCACAAAGTCACTGGGACATCAAGCACACAGCTTGTACTGAACGAGCTTTTACGAGGGCTGCACTAAAAGTATCGGGAATAGAATATTTCCACTGTTCCTATCATATTAAAATATTTTTAATTGCAAACACCTTGGTTTTAAGCATCGAATACCATTTATTTATTTAAAAAAAGATTCTCGGTCTTATCACAAGGTCTTGTGAAACTTGTTTAGTCGTTGAGAAAATGGAATTGACTCGAGAAAATTGAAGAGCGATGATTTATTATGACTTTCAGAGTGGTTTAACACAAAAACAGTGTGTTGACCGGATGATTTCTGCATTTGGTAATGAAGCCCCATCCAAAACCATAATTTATCGCTGGTTTGCTGAATTTCAACGTGGACGTGTCAAGCTCAGTGATGGTCCCCGTCAAGGTCGTCCAAAAACTGCAGTCACCCAAGATAACGTTGATGCTGTGCGTAAGCTGATTGAAGAAGATCGACATGTGACATACGGCGAAATTCAGGCAACTTTAGACATTGGCATGAGTCAAATACAAATAATCTTGCATGAACAATTAGGTGTAAAAAAGTTGTTTTCCCGATGGATACCGCATTCGCTCTGTGAAGAGCAAAAAGCGGCTCCCGTTACTTGGTGCGTCAGAACTCTCGGAAGATTACATGCAGGATCCTCAAATGCTGTATACAACATCGTATCAGGTGATGAATCCTGGATATATGCGTACGAACCCGAAACAAAAAACCAGTCACGAGTTTGGGTGTTCGAAAATGAGTTAAAGCCAACAAAAATTGTTCGTTCACGGAGTGTTGCAAAAAAAATGGTGGCTACGTTTGTCTCCAAAACCGGCCATGTTGCGACTATTCCTCTTGGGGGACAAAGAACAGTTAATGCAGAATGGTATGCTAGCATTTGTTTGCCACAAGTCGTTTCTGAACTCCGTAAAGAGAACTGCAACCGCCGCATCATCCTCCATCACGACAATGCGAGTTCTCACACCGCGAACAGAACAAAAGAGTTTTTAGAGCAAGAAAACATAGAATTATTAGACCATCCGCCGTACAGCCCCGACCTAAGCCCTAATGATTTCTATACTTTCCCTAAAATAAAGAATAAATTGCGTGGTCAGTGATTTTCATCACCTGAAGAAGCTGTGGACGCCTACAAAACGGCCATTTTGGAGACCCAAACTTCCGAATGGAATGGTTGCTTCAATGATTGGTTTCGTGTATGGAAAAATGTGTCAAATTTCGCGGAGAATACTTTAAAAAGCAATAAATACATTTTTAAATAGTAATGTTGTTTCACTTGCTTGATTCCCGAAATTTTCAGTGCCGCCCTCGTATACAACAGGCTTTAGTTTATTTAAGTCCTGCAAATAAATTAGCGAGCCATTTAACTAAGTTTGAGCGTAGATACTTACGAAATACAATCAATAATGGGGCACACAGATAGACACAAGGTGCAGCCGGTGCAGTCGTCTGTCACATGCGGAATATGGGTCTGAGGGTCGAATCTGAAAAGGAAAATAACTTCAATTAATTACCCAGGTAGCTGACCTCAAGTGGAGAGGATAGGAGATAAAACGAGATGTATTTCAATCATAGCATATGGCATCATCATCATTTCAGCCATAGGACGTCCACATACCACATACGCCAACATAGGCATCCCCCAATGACTTCCATTTTGACTGTTTGGTAGCGGCCTGGGTCCAGCGCCTTTCTGCTAACTTTTTTGAATAACCAAGATTTTCACATCTCTCTGCTCAACTATGGTCGAAAAACTGATTGGTCGGACCTAAGTCTACGCTACGCTGCGCCACTGCGCACTGTTCGGACTCTCTCACTCTTTCACTCCTGAAATTTTCAAGCTATAGTTTTGTATAGGGGTTTTATTTAGGATTTCCATGACAACTTACTCAATGGCTTGGTAGCCGGAGTCAGCACACGCCATATAGCATTTTCCGCAGTTTATGCACATGTCCTGGAAACAAATATAATATTTAAACATTACATCCAGCGCAGAGAGCGAATTAACCACAATAACTAGGTATCTGAAACTACAACAACAATCGTTGGTGTTTTAGTATTAAGTAATTTATTGGTGTTTTATCTATGTTACACAAATTAGTTCTTGTAATTCAACTCACATTCTAAACCTCGCTCGCTAAAGTCTAAAAACTAGCAATAAAACTTGCAGAAGTTGATTTCCGCAAGTCACAATGTATAAATCTCGCAGAAGTTGGCTTGCCAGCCATTTACACAGTGATAAACAGCTTGCAGAAGTCAACTTCTATAAGTTTTAATGCTAGTCTAATATCCGTTTTCACCATCAATCCCTAATTTTTGAGTGACTCCCTATGGTAACCCATAACAAGAATTTTGTTTTTATAGTGGTCACTTAAAAATTAGGGATTGATGGTAAAAACGAGCATAAACCTCGCTATAACATGCATATAACTTTACAAAAAAGTTTTAGTAGGTACACTTACATCGTCGATCAAAGCAACCACTTGCTTCGTATTGTCCAAATGTTTGTAAGTCCCGACCCTAGAAAGAGCTAGGCCCAACACGTCTTGGATTCTGGGGATTTCGGCCACTCCGTTGACCTTGCCGTTCACGTAAGTGTCGACCTTATTGCTGCCCAACAGTTCTGAATTCAGTCGCTTTTCGTGCAGCAGCTCTTCACGCTTCTTGATGTATGGGCCGAAATGAGCTAGAACCTGAAAAAGTAATTTAAATCATTAATATTGAGGCAAGGTTAGGTACTAAAACTTCAGTTGATTCCACCATAATTAACAAAAGCAATACAGTTTTGTGTGTAAGTTTAATTGAATTATTTATAAGACCTTTGCAAAACTGTTGAAAAAGGTACCTATACCGCGAAAGATACACCAAAAGACACCAATTGATAACTCGCCCGTATTGTATGTATAGTCCAGAATTATGTTTACCTAGCTATGTATTAGCGGCCGCCCGCGACTTCGTACGCGTGGATTCCGTTTTACCCCTTTAGGGGTGGAGTTTCGTAAAATCCTTTCTTAGCGGTTGCCTACGTCATAACATCTACCTGCATGCCAAATTTCAGCCCGATCTGTCCAGTGGTTTGGGCTGTGCATTGATAGATCACTATATCAGTCAGTCAGTCACCTTTGAGTTATAAATATTTAAAATATATGAGATTACCTTTCCATCGTTGTCGTACAACGTCTCCACCGGCTTCCCCTTCTGGTGCTTGAAGGTGGGCGGCGACTGGCCCGTCCAGCCGTCCAGGCCAATAGAACGCAAGTACAGCAGCGCCTTCAGGCCCGTTATGTAGTCCTCCACCACCGTGAAGTCTTGGTTCTGGACGGCGCTGCAGATCTAGAAGATCATAGAATAGGATTATTAGTGGTTTGGAAGTAGAATAAGCCGACAAGAAGTTTCGGCATCGTACGCGCCGATTCGATATTTATTTATCAATGAGCAACATAATAAGCTTACAGAAAAACCAAAGCGCTTACATGTTTAGTTCACATTAATTTAACTAAGAGTTCGTTGGTAACCTCTAGCTAGACGATGAACTACATAAGTACCTATTTATAGCTTCGTTCTTTCGTTCGTTTTAGCCAAATCACGTCCACTGCTGGACAAAGGTCTCCCCTAAGGATTTCCATAAGGACCGGTCCTGCGCTGCCCGCTACCAGGTGTTTTCCGCAACATTCACCATATCAATTAAAATGGTAAGACACGGGTCTTAACGCGACGTTTATTAATGAGTTACATTATGCCTATGTTCGAAGGCGAACCCAAAGGCTGACATAGATAGATAGATAGATTATGCACATGTCCTGAAAATGCTGCAGCCGAAACGTCAAGCTGTGAGTACCTACATATTGTAACTCAATAATTAATTTTAATTGAAATGGAACGCGAAAGTTTAAAATCTTATAGGTAGGTACTTACTTCACCATATCATTGATCAACCTATTGGGAGGCCTTCTTGATTTTACATCTTCAGAGGAAAAATCTTCTTGGATCTGATAAACAGTTTGAAGTAACTAACCTGCACAACTGGCGCTCCGCACATTATAAACTGCAATGCTGAATCAGCAGAGTCGATGCCGCCGATGCCCAGTATTGGGAACCCGGGCAGCTTATTCCCAATCGCGGATACGGCGCGGAGGCCCATCGGACGCGTCGCGTTGCCGGACACCCCGCCGTATGTCGTGTGCTTTTCGACGCCTTGCAAAATAGAACGATAGAGATATCCATTTCATTGTAAAAAAAACCAGTCTTTTAGGGAGAACTGAAAAGTTTAAAATTACATTCTTACTTTGGAAGGCACTATTGGAATAGAGAATCCTAGAGGTTGATTGTGGTGCTCAATTAACTATACAAATACTTTTCTGAAAACCGCATCAAAATCGGTTGAGCCAAACAAGTGAAACTGAGAACACTTAGGCTGGATTAACTTTGACAAACGTCGAAAATCTGTCAAATTCCATACAAAAAACACCGGTTATCGTTAAGGTTACGGTCAAAGTTAGGTAGTGCAACTCAGCCTTACTCTTTTCAAGTCGATCCAAAAGGGACCAATACAATTTTATTTTTCATACGTATAAAAATAGACATAGGTACATACCAACAGCAGGCCATGGTGTAGCGTCGGCTTTGACAGACATAAGGCCGGAGACGGTGTTGATGGCAGAAACACCGCTAGCGCCACCTAGAAGCAATGGAACATCACGTCCATGTTATTCAAACAGGAGTACTTAGGGCAGGGCCGGATTAACCATTTCGGGGCCTAGGCACAGCTCGTTTCGGGCCCCCCCTTCTTAATTTCATACCACAAAATCGCCTTAGGAAATTTTTACTGTCTACATTACGAAATAAAATGAAGGTTATTATCATCAACAACAGACTTCAGTCATCACATTGCAAAGGTATACGCCTTCCTTCAAGTGAAAAGACTTTCGCCACAAACTAAATGTATGGAAGATGGAAACATTGAATTTTTAGATAAATTCCGTTTATTCTGTAACCTGTTATTGGTACCGTTTGAAAGAGCTCGTGAAGCACTTTCAGGATCAGTAACCAGTTTTACGATATCTTTTGTAGTTTTTAATAATATGATGCTGTACCAAATGTATGGAAGCCGGAAACATTGATTTTTCGGATAGATCCAGTTTATTCTTTAACCTATTATTGGTACCATTTAATAGAGCTCATGAAGAACTTTCAGCATCAGTAACTAGTTTTTTGATATCTTGTATCGTTAAGAAATAATCGAGTGAGATCACTTATCGTTTCCACCCTGTATAATCATGTAAAGCAAAGCAGTAATGTTAACTAGGCATGTAGAATAAGACATGAAAATCAATCAAATCGGTAATAGGGGAAAGTAGTACGAGTTGATCCCCTGGGGTAAGATGATCTTTCGCGATTGTGCTGAAACCACTAACGTCATTTAGTTTCTTTCACTGGTAAAACATAGCTCTGGACACATCCCCGCCTCAGTCAAATCGTAATGGTGGCGTGAGCGATACATCGAATTTGACGAGAAAAAAGAAAAATTGTGTACTTCTGATCTAAAATAGGCATGACTTTGAGCTTATGTTACTTTTATTCAAACAATGTTAAATGTAATTACTGTTGTCGTTAGGCTTTCTATTATGTTTAATTTTAATATTTTGGCCATAAAAACGTAGCCGCGTACTTGTAGATTATTTTAGCAAATATTTAACAAAAAGTGGGACTTGGGTCAAGATGATCCCTTCCTATATGTACGAGATGATCCCTGGGAATTAAAACAAAAAAGTCATTGGAGTAGGTAAAGGGAAGTGAAATAAAAGAAAGAGAACTTCATATAACTCACCTGAGTCTGAAGGAGATGACACTGAGTGGCTGTACTGAACAGAAAAGTTTTCAGGCGATACCAAGGGTGAAGGATGGATAAAATGTTATGCATGTGGAAAATGGGGCCATAAAGCATGTGCTGGGGTAGAGGGTGATGAAGCAGGTGAATTTATTTGTGATATATTCAACACAGCTCTAGCCAAAAAGCGTTTCAATTATTTAAACGCTTTTTAGCAGGTACTAAGAAAGAATCAGTTATTTTCGTTATTTGATTCGTAAATGTTTTTCTTTTTTAACTTTTTAACGATTTGTTCGCATAATTAGATACTCCGAAAGGATTATAACCAGAAAAGAATAGATCATAGAATAGAATCATAGGGATCATCTTACCCCTACCTGGGGGATCATCTTACCCACAGGGGTGTACAAGATGATCACTTTGTAAGGTTTTGCAAAAAATGAAATATTTTAATGAAACCTCAATTAATTTCTGGTTTTGAGTATAAGAAAAGTTGGATAGATAAATATACTAGTAGTAATCGTCTTTATTTTTGGTTTACCTTGAAAAATATGTCTTTTACAGCGATTCCCGCTTAAGGGGATCATCTCGTACTACTTTCCCCTAATTCCTACAAAAGTTTTCATTGTTTTAATAATAAATAAATAATAAATAAATAAAAGTTTATTTAACAACTTTAACATTTTTTACATTTCTTACATTGCATTGTTGTACATACATTTCCTTAAATTAATCCTTAATGGCTTCATTTGTTGCTCTTTAAGACTAGCCTTGGTTTTCGACTTCGTTGGAGTTGTGCTTAAGTGGTGGGGCCCCCCGAAAGGGGCATTTCTGCGGTTTTACGGTTATACCGTGTAAAGGACTTGCAATATCGAAAACTGATCCTCATGATGATTGAAGGGCATTTAATCCTGCATTGAATAAGACCAAATTCATATATTTTGGACAAACCGTTCTCGTGCCTATCTTCGACAAAATACCTATAATTAATGACCCTCTACGTCCAATGGCTCGTCACCCGCAAGCTCCAAAGCCTTGAAAAGGGCCACCTTAACCAGCATATTCCTGTTAAGCCTCGCGAGTTGGATTCGTCTATCCTTATTCATCCCAGCCGTTCCTTTACTACGGTTGCTGCACCTCTTCCTTGCACTCTCTTGAACGACTCTGTGTTATCTACTGTGGCTGCCCCTCTTCCTTGCACCCACCCTCCTGCACGACTGTGTTGCCAAGTCTTACAGCTGGTCCAAGGTTCGACTCCAAAAATCAACAACAACAGGTTCATATTAAAACGCTGAAGAGTTTGTTTGAACGCGCTAATCACAGAAACTACTAGTTTGATTTAAATAATTATTTTTGTGTGGGATAGCTAGCTCGTAAATTGAGGAAGGCTATAGACTAATAGGGACGAAGCAGTAAAGAAAAATGTTGCAAACACGGGAAATAGTATTCAAACTATTTTCACGCGTACGAAGTTGATTTTGTGGCGTCGAACCTTGGACCAGGCGTACGGCTAGGCAACGCAGTCGTGCAGTAGGGTACAAGGAAGAGGGGCAGCCATAGTAGATAACACAGAGTCGTTCAGAAGAGTGCAGAGAAGAGGTGCAGAACTCGTTGACAGGGATACGCTGGTTAAGGCGGCCCTTTTCAAGGTTTGGGACCCTGCGGGTGACGAGCCATTGGACGTAGAGAGGGTCATTAATTATACGTATATTTTCTACTTTCTCGAAGATAAGCACGAGAACGGTTTGTCCAAAACATATGAATTTGGTCTTATTAAATGCAGGATCGAATGTCCTTCAACCGTCATAAAGATCAGTTTTCGATACAGTACTTAAGTCCTTTACGCGGTATAACAGTAAAACCGCAAAAATGACCCTTTCGGGGGGCCCCACCACTTAAGCATAACTCCGCCGACGTCGAAAACCTAGGATAGTATTCATGGGCAACAAATGAAGCCATCAAAACAATAAAATCTTTTGTAGGAATTATTTCCGATTTAAAATCAAATTCTACTGGCCTAAACGTTACGAAAATGAATTAAGTTCCACAATATCGAAATATGACGATTGAGGTGGTTTGAGTTTTGTTGAATAAAAATAATATTTAACATAATATTATCTTTTTTTTTTTCATTTTTTAATCGGGAGTGCTGGGCCCCTGGTCATAGTGGGCCCCTAGGCACTGGCCTAAAGTGCCTTATGGATAATACGGCACTGACTTAGGGTCACGGGTGTGACTTACTACGAATGCTAACAAATAACATTTGAAATAGGGTACCTTCGTACGCCGCCACAGCGATTGACACAATGTCAGTGATGTTAGGAGTGAGTTTCACGAAGAATGGAATCTTGATCGCTTTTCGCACCCATTCAGAAATGCCTTTTACTAACACAGGGTCCTGAAAAAAGTTGTCAGGTTGTAGTAGTAGTAGTAAGTAGGTGAGGTAAATATAGGTACTTATTTCGCATAAGTGTTTTGTATAAAGCAAGTCCATTGAAGTATAGGTAAGTAGATAGTGGACTTCTGGGTGTAGTAAAGGAAAATCTTGGGACGTCTTGTTCCTTGTACCAATAACTGCATTGGACTAAACACAAAAGATGCCTCAGTTTTTGTGATATTGACGTGGCTTGTCTGTACAATGGACAAAGTCTGAATTCTTCAGTGTTAACAATCGCCAACTATCAGGCTAAATAATAGCATTATGCCTTTGCCCAGCAGTTAAATATTGGTCTAACCTGCCCACAAGCGAGCCCCATGCCTGACTCGCCCATGCCGTGAGGACACGAAAGGTTCAGCTCCAGCGCATCGGATCCCGCCGCTTCTGCCTTTTGAGCCAGCTCGGTCCAATCCCGCTCGTTGTACGAACACATTATAGACGCTATTACTACCTGCAATCGAGACAAGATTATAAATAATTTTCATATCCTATGATAGGGTCATCCTACCAACCTACATCTTTCTTACATTTCTCGGAAATTCGGAATAATAACTAAAAGCTATAACAATTATTGTTGATTGATTGATTGCATTATACGAGCTTATACGAGTAATAATGGTTTAGGCCATTTTTGCAATATGGCGTTGCGCGCGGCTACGATACGCAGTCGCATAGTTTAAATTCAAAAAGAGCACAAGAAAATTTATAAAATTCCCAGTTTACAAAACTCCCGGAAAATATTTTAAATACGAAAGTAATAAGTAACTCCCACTGAACCAATTAGATTCTAAAGATAGACAGTTTGAGTCTCGGAAAAGGACATAGGATAGATTTTATCCTAGTTTTTGAAGTAGAGACGCGTGCGATAAAAAAATTCTGTGAGACAAAATTTCACGCGTGCGAAGTCGCGGGCAAAAGCTAGTTAACTAAAATTATTCAGAATGCGAACACATACTTTGTTAGGGAAGTCCCGTTTCAATTCAGTGATGCTCTGGCACCAGTAAGCCTCGCACTTCTCGGAGATCAGCTCGATGTTAAGGAAGGAGCCCTGGCCCGGCCCGAAGTTCTCGCCTGACGTCACGCCGCGAACTATCCGGGGCGATACGTTGGTTACCAAGTCCTGGAACAAACATTTTAAAGTATCAGTAAAAGCCAAATTTCACATCTAGGTGATCAAAGTGGACTTCTTATCCATAGGTGATCAAAGGACACCAAAGCGTCGCTTGGGGTCCAATTTGATCACCTGGGTGATCCCCTTTGTCCCAGTTCGTACCAGACCGTCGATGTAACGTCACGCCCGCCAGGTGCGCAAACTCGATTGCCTTGTACTCATATAAGCAGAGCTGCTGGTGGTAAAAATCGAAAGGGCTGTTCTTCGAAACCTATATGATACCTACGAGTACTCCCTATTTATTGCATGACCATCAATGTTATACAAACACAAAAGCTGTGGTTATACCTACACATCCGCGCCAGCCCTATATTGAGGATGGGCATAATTATTGTAACTATACTAAGTAGTTCCACCAACTGCTTACATTGTCCAGGCCAAAAGTCTTAGTAAACGTGAAACCCCAGTCTTGCTCTAAGACGCGTCGAATCATAGTTTAGCTGGTGGAGGACAAACAGTTTTACCACGATCTGGGTATATCGTAACCATAGTTAGTAGTTCTATCAGCTGTTTACCTTGTCCAGACCAAAAGTCTTGGTGACGGCGAAGCCCCAGCCCTGCTGGAAAGCGCGGCGGACCATGGCCGCGCTGGTGGTCTACAGACACGTCTACTTCTATTGGATTTAATTTTAGACCAAAAGTTCTCAATATCTTTTCCACAGACCACACTCGACGGGCTATTCGTCCAAGTCAATGGGTCTTCTAAAGAGAACCTAGCCATAGTCCATCAGCTTTTGCCTTGTTAGATAGTGACCGCAAATAGCGAAGCCTCAGCCTTACTCGAAGGCGCAACGAATCATAGTAAAGCTAGTGGTCGACTAGCAGATTAAGCAAGATCTGGGTATAAATAAGTAGTTCTATAGATAGTTTCATCCACGAAGACGCGTCACACTAGTTTGGTCGAGGGAGGTGCGGAGTGCGGCGAGTATGATCCGAGCAATCCGAGCGTCATTATTGTGGTGTGCGTGTGCACTCATGGATAATTTAGCGTGTGACCATTAACACTCAAACATTAGCGAAAGAATCTACATATAGCAGCTGTTTACCTTGTCCAGGCCGAATGTCTTGGTGACGGCGAAGCCCCAGCCCTGCTGGAAGGCGCGGCGGATCATGGCCGCGCTGGTGGTGGGCGGCGCGCTGGCCAGCCCGAAGGGGTTCTCGAACTTTATGCCACAGACTTCCACTGACAGGTCTACATCGTCGATTGGGCAGTGGAACTTCGGTAGTTCGATTGGCGAGTCGAATGGGAGACCCTGAAAGTAAAACGGTAATCGTTTATCAAAATAAAAACTGTATGTTCTTAGGTTTAGAGAACCTAGATAATCCGAAGAAGAGACTTGACTAAACTATTCGTTTTACGTCTCTTAAACCTCTCTATAAGAAATGCTCTGCAAGTTACGCCTGGAGATGTATGAGATCCATAATAAATCTTCTACTTTTGCTTAAGCTATAGTTGGGTGGGACGTACCTACTTACTACGTAAAACTTATAGATAGGCCCTGAAGAGAACTAGTTTCACCCAACTGCAAAGTTTAACTGCATGGAGAGTGTAGGCCAAATATTTATCTCTGGTAAATTAGAAAGAGACATCCTCCTGCAGTGGAGACTAACTAACCTGATGATAATTTGAAATCTGCACTTTCAGTGACTCTTTGGAGCCAGGACTAACCTGTAAATAGCAGTGCATGTACCAAGCGGCGGTCTTGCCGTCATTGACCGACTCAACCGTGCTCTTTGCCACCCCGGCTAAGTCTCCCCCGATGAAAATTTGAGGATTGAGACTAAATGACCTAATGATGATGAGATCAGCCCATTCAGTGACACTTTGGAACCAGAACTAACCTGTAAATAGCAGTGCATGTACCAAGCGGCGGTCTTGCCGTCATTCACCGACTCAACCGTGGTCTCGGCGACCCCGGCCAAGTCTCCCCCGATGAATACTTGAGGGTTACTTGCGCTCTGCATCGTCATACTGTTCACTTCAGGAAGGCCCCATCGGTTTAGTTTCACGGTTGACATCGCGTCTTTGACTGAAAAAGGAAGGATAATTAGAATTACTTTATTCCAAAAATAGCTAGGTATGTAGGTAGGTCTCAGTTGTTTCCTTAATAGCCAAAACCGCTAAACCAATTTTGATACATTTTGGTATATCTAAATAAAGATTCCCATCTTAGGGGAAAATAGAAAGGCAGTAGGTGTGTATCGATTTTCAAGGGATCTGAAAATTCATATTATTTCCTTACGTACGTCCCAGATTGTGTTTTTTGGCTTTAATAACTCGTAGGTAGACTCTGTGGTAAACAAAAATTAACGCGGCAAAAGTTAGAAAAATATCTTTACCATCGGCATCGTACAATCCCGATCCAAACGCCGATATTATAAAGTTGGCTTTCAGCTGCAGTATTTGGTCGACATCTTCGATCCATTCTCCGTCATCCAGTTGTTCGGTTCGGCACATTTTCAGAGCTGCAATCTGGAAGTTAATAAAAAAATATTATACGAGATTATTCAATTATCGGATTAAGTGCTAGGTAAGTAACTAGGAAAAAAAACAGTGTGTAAATTTTTTTTAAAGTAGGTACCTACACCTAAATATACTAAAAGTTACCTTGCCATCCTTCACTATAACTTCTTGTGGCGACATGAATGGTACGAATTCACACTTTTCTTCCTTCGCCAAATCGACCTAAAAACAAAAAGACTTACTTAATTCCATACTTAGGTATTAGGATTTTGGTATAAGACCTACACATTGAGTACTAACTTATTATTTATAAGGTATAGGATAGGTATCTAATGCCGGTATTCAAAAACGATGCTTGCTTAAGTAAAGCAGCAAATCGAACGCACAGCGTTGAATAGAGCTCTGTGATTAGTTCATGTGTCACCCTGTGCGCCACGCGCACTGTGAGACCTCATAGTAATGTTTGTGAATACGGGCGTAAATAACTTCACTTCAAAATCAAACTCTATCATTAGAAGAGACGAAACAGTAAGCGATTTAATCAAAATTCGGGCAAATATGAACTTAAGTATATGAACCGAATGGTCCATCATCTTACCTCCTCCGGCACAGCCCTAATATTGCTGAATCCTTTTCGGAAAACAACATACACTCTGCGCGCGCCGCAACGCAACGCTGACGTCGCGCAGTCGAAGGCAGTGTCTCCCGCGCCGAGTACGATCACGCTGCCGTACAGTTCTGGCAGCGACGACTTGCACGCGCACATGCCTGAAGATATTACCATCATCATTAACATCATAATCGTGTTATCAGTGATAACTTATGGCTCGGAAACGTGGCCTCTCACTACAGAAGCTCAAAGTTGCACAGCGTGCTATGGAGAGGGCTATGCTTGGCGTTTCTTTGCGAGATCGAATCAGAAATGAGGAAATCCGTAAACGAACTAAAGTCGCTGACATACTACTATACGAAAATAAATAAAAACATAGCCCGACAGATTAGCAAGCTGAAGTGGCAACGGGCAGGGCACATAGTACGCAGAACTGACGGCCGATGAGGCAGCAAGGTTCTGGAATGGAGGCCGCGTACCGGAAAACGCAGCGTGAGACGTCCAACTACAATGTTAATTCATTCATCATCGTTATCATAATGCAGTCAGTGAGCAAGAGCCTACTAAATATTATTACTTCATTATCATCATCAGATGATTTAGAATCATTACGTCGTTTGTTGAGTTATACCAGTTATACCTACTCATAGTAAAGCCTGGTCCGTGAGCACGTAGAATTTTGTCCAATGACCCCAAGCTACCCATCCTTATCGCTCGCGCGTATTTATGTTGCTGACGCGCTCGCACACTCACTGCGGGCGCGCGTCGCACAGTGTAGCGATTAGAGTGTCGGTGCTTAGTTTGATCCCTGTTGGTTTTTTACGGACAATAATAATTGTCGTATGACTCTCACCCAGACCTAACATAAGCTGTTTACGCTAGGTGGGGTTGACAGGAATATTAGTGCTTGTTAAACTAACCTTTCTTACTCCCCTTCGAGACCAGGGGCAAGAAGTCCTTGCTTGTATAGAAGCCCATTTCCTGGGTGAGCCCTTTGAATATGGGCACGGTTTTGGGCTCAGGCAGACCGATTCCGAGGAAGACCGCTGCATGGCCATCTTTTAAAAGACCCTGAAATTAAAGTCTTTAATAAATCTTAAACCACATTAATATGAAAAAGGCGTGAATTAAATAAAACACCTTTAAGTAGAAAAAGTTACATTTGTGATTCATCAGAATTATTTATCTTATTTGTTCATAGGTAAGTGTTAATGAGAATAAGTAGAACTCACTTCAACAGTGATATCCTTAGCTGACAGCTTTCTCCCGGTGACAAACTTGACACCGAGGCTTTTCACCAGGTCCACTTCAAACTGCACCACGTCGAAAGGCAGGCGGTACTGGGGGATCTCTGATGAACTGGGGAAGAATAAGGCATATCTTTAGGTCCAGAATAGAACAGAAATTGTTCTTATAATTATTTATGTAAGAGTCGCGAATAATGATCTACCAAGTCTGTAATCTTAATAAGTAGGTAAATAGGTACCTAAGTATCATCAGATAACAATATTAGGTAATAGATCAATATTGTTTTGGTTACCAACTAAAATACCCTACCTAGTTGTAATCATCACTTATAAAATTATCCATTTCTTTGATAATATTGTTGGCAAGCCAATTGTTATCCAGTTTATCTTTGAAGCTAACCTTGACATTCAAATACAAAATAAATAAGTTTAAATAAGATAATAAGTAGGTACTTTATGCAAATAGGTACGTTTTAAAATACCGAGCAATGTGTTCTGTTTTTGGGCATATTGCTACGACACCGACCACGCCCCCTTGTCACATCTCCTTTTAGTTTCTGTGATCTGTGATCTCAAGTAACATACCTCAGTCCCCCCAAGTATTTCTCCTTCTCATAAACGGTGATGTTCTTGTACCCCAGCCTTGCCAGGAAGCAGGCACAGCTGGTGCTGGCGGGTCCACCGCCGATGAGCGCGATCTTTTGGTTTCCACCTCGAGGTAACGGCTTGATGTTGGGGTCCAGGGTTTGGGGAATCCCCATTTTCATGAAGATCTAGAGATAAGAAAGTTTTGATAAATGTAGTTTTGGGTGCATGCAAGTAGATGTCGTTAATATGAATTTTGAAGTCCCGATTCCTTCATGTAATGTTTTATTAGGATCCGGGCGGCGCAGGACCGGTCATTGTGGAAATCCTTGAGGGAGACTTTTATCCAATAGTGGACGTCATTTGGCTGAAACGAACGAATGTTTTACCGCTGTTTTAGGACTATAATAGTAGATGAGAACTTTGGTTCAAGACCCGGCATGGATAAACTTGTTTTTTTTTTTTCAATTTTTTACGTCGTATTGTGCTGCTACTTTTAAAGATAAACAACTTTGATATATATATCCTTTAATGGTGTACTGATCTATTGTAAAATACAATCTAAATAAAACTTATCTAAAAATACTGCAGTTCGATGCATAGGTACGATCAGTAACGTGCTGTAGGTACCTATACACACGGCCACAGTGTTTTGCTCTTGCTGTCATCAATATTATGATAATTCTTTGCGAAAGAACGAGACGACATGACTGGCAATGGGTAGTTAACACTGTTGCCGATAGTACTTACAATTTACATACTTATTATCTTAATTTTTTATCAAACTCACATCAACAGCGAAATGCTGCAGTCCTCCGATGTTGATGGCGCCCTCCTCGCTAGCGTGGAGGTTGCAGCCTCCCACACAAAGGTCGCTGGTGGGGCACACCATACCGCACGTGAGCCCCAGGGGGTTGTCCGACAGGATGGTCTTGGCCGCCCCATAGTAGTTCTGGAACACAAGAAATTTTGAGATAACTAGCTTAAAACGGGTCCTATAAGTCTTAGTCCAATTATCTCCAGAAGCTGAGGAAAAGCGTGATGACAAAAACTAATCTGATTAGTTAAGTATTCAAATACATACATCTTCTCTCCTCTTCGCTTTGATGAAATCCGGGCCTTACATAGGTACATCATACGATACGAAGTAGGTAGAAGATTTCGTTAAATAAGAAATACGGCTTCGAAAATCAACAGTCTATTTCGAGTCAAAGTTGTAGTCGTTTCAGCAGGTGTAAAAGTAAGTAAGTATGACTTCGTCGAAATTCGTGACGAATTTGGATTTCGACGATAAAATAGTTTATCTCTTATGCTAAGAATAAAAGAACCTTAATTAACATTTAATGAATTAATGAATAATGAACGACTATTTACTTAGTAATATGCATTTGCATAAACTCTACACTCTACAGCGGTGCGGGTTTTTGGAGTGTAGGTAAGGTACCTACCTAATTAGATTTCCAATTCGTAAACAAATTCGTAGAAAGCATTTAGCAACATACCTACTTACTTATTCAGCTTTACTAATATGGCTAGCGTGCGAGATACAAATAACAAATAATGAGGTCATGATAAACAAGAGAAGAGCTATAACATAACGAATGTAAACTGGGGTTTTCCAATCAGAAAACACAAACAACCTAATTATGGTCATTACTAAACTATATACCTACCCACCTACTAGACTAAACTTTAGTTGCCAGGGAAGGAAGAAAAGCCAAGCCCCTTGCGCACGCGTTTTATCTTATCTACTTAGGTACTTATTACCTTATTACTTACAATTATAATCAAAATACCTATCATAATCTTTCTTTGAGTGATAATTTAACAATTCATGCACATGCTGATGCTATTAATAGTGGTATTCCACTAATTTTCAGCATTCTGTTTATTAGAACACCTTCAAACTGATCATCATTTTCCATCAGGTGGAAATGCAAGCCAAGAGCTTCGCCGTTGTGGTTAAACATGGTTTTTGTCTAACCATTATTTGATTTCATGATTTTCGTACGCTAACACAATTCCAATTTCCAACTACGATAGATAGACCACTCAAAACAGACTCACAAAAGAAACCAAATCGAACACAGAGTCACAGCACAATTTAGGCGGTCTTTATTAAATCTAAATTGATGAACTAAAGACTAAAGATAAATACCGACCCTGTTAGCAATGCTGGTGATGAAGCTCTTGACATCAATCTGCGTGGGGCAGGACTTCTGGCAGGGTGCGTCCGCGCACTTGAGGCAGCGAGCGGCCTCCCTCAAGGCACCACGCTCGGATAGCGTCGTGTGCTTGATGTCGTCGAAGTTCTTTACCAATGTTGGACAGGTCTGGAAAAATAACGGTCTTTAATAATAGCAGAATACGTGAAAAATCTGATTTAATTAAGATTAAACTTCGTTCAGTTGCGATCGCGGAATTGTTTTTAAATCAAACGGTCCAGGTTTGGTGTCTTGTAGCCAACAGTGACTGATGAATTTTGAACGCAGCGTAGGCCATAGGCACAAGTTACCTAAGAAAACTAATCTGCAACCAGAAGGCGAGAATTTTCTTCATCAGAGATTCCTCAGAGTCCAACTACTAGGCCTTTCCAGGCATAATAAAAGTCAATTCTGGGTGTTCAATGCCGAAACGTATAAGAACTAATCGTCGTTCCTCCTTAAAGTTATACTTCGATCTGTTTGATATCTTCGTAAGATAGTTAAACAACTTACGGTGCATTTTCGGTCAGCGTTCCTCTTCCAGTGCTGTTTGTTCTTCTTGGTCTGTGCTGATGGGACCAAATTGGAATACGGCTTCACTGTAGGGTTCAACCTCAGCAAGTTCTGAAAAGTCAAAAATGTTTATTATTTAAACCTATTAGTAATGCTCGTCAATGAAAGAGAGAAAAGACTTGTCGAATGTTTGATAAGACCGTTTTCTTACCTGTATGAAAATATGATCCCGGTAAAAAGAGAATCTCAATCAAAGAAGAAATTAGCGATAGTGGTGTTAAACAAAGAACATGAATGGACATTAGACCCGCAAAGAAATAAACTAAGAAGGTAAATGGAGAATGGAGGAGTTCGTCTTCCGAATATAAAATCTCCAACGTCGAGCTATTGGAACGCTGCTACGAAATTCCGATCGACATCAAGCGCCGCAAGTGGAACTACGTTGACCACACTCTCCGAAGGGATCCCGATCACATCCCCAAGCAGGCTCTGGATTGGAACCCCCAAACAAAACTCAAATGTTCCCAAGAAAACTTGGCGGCGCAGTGTGGTAGACGAGGCGAAGAAGATCGGCAAGACTTGAAGCGAGATCAAACGCGAAGCTTAAGACCGAACGCGATGGAGGACTGTTGTGGACGCCCTCTGCCCCATCTACAGGGGACGTTGTAAGTCAAGTAAGTCATCATCCGAATAAGAATAAAAAAAAGTGTCCAGCTACAATGTTTTCTTGCTTTGTTATTTAAATTTTACGTCATCTCCGATAATATTTTATCAAAAACAATGTGGGTGATCCTTAGATAACCCTTGACCCTACCATTTAACTAAGTATAAGTATTTGTTGACGAATAATCTCAAACTTGTTGAGGTCAGAGTGCGCTATTAGCAATAGTTAGAAATCATTGATAGTTTCATATGAGTTACTTAATTAACTAAAACAATAGATGTGTCACATGCGACTCACAGGACGGGAAATTGTTATTTAGGTATGTTTATCATGTAGGTAGAAAAACTCCTTTCTTATTGAACCTTGAAATATTAAAAATAAGCTTGAGCGTATTTACATTTTTATCACGTTGAGAACGAGATTGTGATCTTAATGCGCCATAAGACAAGTAGTAGGTACCTACTGCGTCAGTAACTAGGAAGTTACAAGTTCCCTTTTAAAAGAACCACTTCACGCTTTGAATGAAAATTGTACGTTGTGCATGTATTAATAAATATGCAAGTAGATAAGTGGTTATGAACTTGAAACAAATACTGTGCGAAGTCAAGGTTTGTGGAATACAGTTTAGTTATTTATTATTAGTTACTTGCCATATGTTTGTCTCGAAGCGCTGGTTGGTGACATGTAAAGTGCCCCATAAGGGCTACCTTTTTTTTAAATTATTATTTACTATATTATTTTTGACGTTCATCATAAGTGCCACTTGTGGTCTAAACTGAATAAATATTTTTGATTTTGTTATTCGCACCACATAGAGATGACTTCTCATCTTTTAGGAACATTTTACTAGATGATTATGATCTATTAATGAACCATTCATTAAAATTAATTAATGAAGTACCGACAATTAATAAATAAAATAGACATAGGTACCAAAAAGTACATAATAGAACAAGTTTTATCTGTCCATACGTTGACTGGTTTTGTTGGCAAATCGCATCTCATGTGCATGCAGTGATGCAGTACAAAAGAAATAGGCGATTGACCTATCAATCAACACTCATACACAGTACAGTCGAGAACACATTTTTGTTGAAAAATCGCATCTATTACAAATACGTAAGATGCCACCAGTATTTGTATGTGGTGTCGTCCGTACCAACCGAACTAGTTTTCTAGTCTAATAAATTAGTTAGCTGTATTTACTGACCTCTATGTCCGGCAATTCCTTACTCAAAAGCACTTTAGCCATCTTGTAAAATGAAACTTTAACACGTTTGGATAGAATTTAGTTTTGTTTATTTATATCGAACGAGCGCAGTGGACTGCTCACTGGCAGTGCCTCACTCGCGACTGACGAACAAACCATTTGCTCAGCCCAGCTACAGTCCATTATCTTTCTTACCTAATAGATACGTGGGTTTATGTCCTTACTATCTGTACGGTCTTAAGATTTCCGATAGTCGCTTTGGAGTGTAATAATAACGTTAAAACCAGTTTTGTGTTTCTACAAACAATAACTTGTTACTTTTAGCATTAATGGCTTCTTTGGGATTTCGTACGCGTTAAGTTTTGTAGATTGCGCGTAGGTAAAACGTGTTTTTGATACAGTTTTAATTTGAATATGAATTTGACGATGTTGAGTAGATAAACATAACATTCACGTATAGGCGCCGTAATCATAAGTCGGGGAAGTCCCGAGTGATACGGTTTTTGGCAGATTCTTGCATTAAAAAGAATATAAATTTTAATCGCGATATAAATCACTGATATACAGTCACATAAGTAGCATTAAAATCATGAAATAAAAGGGCACTAATAAAACAAACATTTGAACAGTTAATATAAATATATTTTGAATTATTCAGAGGCTTTACAATATTTGGAAGAATTATCGGCAGCGTTATACCTATCAATCGAATTATATGACACACAGCGTACCCATCCACAAGTCAATTGTATAAAAATAATATACAATACAAGCTGTTACCTGAATAAAGCAATCGATACAATCTTTAATAGAAAGTGGGATATACAATTGATAACAATATTATACCTAACACCAATAAAAATGATACATACACGGTAAAATACGCGACTATAGTTGAAATATTTATAATTTATCTCGTGCACGACGGATGTATAAAAATATCAGTAAAAAGTGATTCACCCTTGACATATCATTACTTATCAATTGGCATACTTCTGTTCAAGGCAGATCATTTTATCTTTGAAAACAATTTTGCTGTCATTTTATAAATACATTCTCCAATCATCAGTCCAAGGTATTACTCAGATGGCGTCAATTCTTAAACGTATAAGAATTTTGTGAGACGGGCATTGTTCAATTAGAACTAAGCCATTTAATTTAAAATAACCGAGAAAGTCAATCCTAAATTATGAACCGTTTAATGATTTAATGTAATGATTATTCTAGCAAGTGCACGAGAAAACAAAATAACAAAGGAATATTCCATATTGCCACACATTTACATACTTAAAAATATAATTTTCAATTTAGTATCAAATGAATATACAATTTTATTAATAACCGCTATAGCTTCCATTTCAACTAACGTTATAAATGCGTTCAGAGCCCCCTCTACAAATGTATCTAATTTAATATTTATTATATAAAAATGCGACACCAAAGAAATGGTGCGTTAGCTTATATATTTTAGTTAATACTAAATTATCGTTATTTACATGCTGATTCTTCTAAATATTTGCATCTGAACAATACATATACATTAAAATCTTACGCTAGGTCTGCATTGTGCAATTGTTGGTGCTTCGTTTGTGAAAGACGTCATGAAACGATTGTTGCGTCTAAATATTGTCTATGGCATCGTGGAGCGAGCGCATTTTTTCGTCACAGTATGCAAATTCTTCATTTGAAATTACAAAGACGGTTGTATACGCAGATGGCCAGTTCTTATTCCTCTCTAATTTAGATTTTATAATCTGTGGAATGTTTACAGATTATACAATAAGTGTACTCAATTACAAACACATGAAACTGAGGGACCATTGATTATAATTATAAATGCTCAGATTCATAAAAATAATACGTTCATAATCAAAAATTAAGCATCTACATAATACAGTCGTCAGCAAGTCAGCCTATATTTTTATTGCAAAATGACATATATTACAACGCATTAGATGCCACTATAAAAAGGTATTTGCATACTGCATCGCTGCGCGTCCCTAGCGCGGCATCTACTCTGCGGCAAGCAGTAACAATTGCACACTAAACGCAATCTTACATGTACTATTTCATCTTACACTAACATTTATACTTTAGGAGTGGATTTAGACAGTAATTAACTTAGTGCCGTATTAGGTATATAAAAAATTAAACCAGCTGGTTTGACGTCAGTCAATAGGCGATGAGAATAAAATTGAAGATGCTTAAGGCCCTGTGTACCAGTCAATTAAAGCCTAAACCCGTTATCACATTTTCAGCGAAAAATGCCTCCCAACGCTCGGCGGGTGTTGTGAGAACTAAGAAAATGACCGTTAATTTATTAAACACTAACCCCGCCCCCTTGTAAATGTTTCATACCGACATTCGACTGTTGATAGTTCAGTGTTTTGTTTTGTTCTATCAAACGTAGAATCTTGAATAGAAAAAGACAAAATCACTATAAAACTGTTTTGCTGAATTTACTGGGGGATAGGATTTATTTTACTCCTGGGACGATGCTATAAAACTAATTTCCAACATCGACTACATTCCCAAACATGGTTCATAAAATTGTCGATGTGAAATTACATTTTCTTAATTTCTTAGTCCTGGCAACACCGCCGATTGCGACCGAGCCGCGACGGACGGATTTCTACAACGCAGCGTCCGTCTCAACTCGGTCGGATTATAACGCTACAGTTGTGCGGTTCACAGTACCCATCGAAGACAGAAATATACTATAACATTGTATCGCAATCGGAAACGTTCGCTTTAGATTACTGGCGATAATATTGATTAATCGATAACAACAAAATACACTGAAAAACTGCTTAAAGTCCCAAATATTCTTAACAATGACTGCGTATTTTAATTTCATTCATGCCCAATTGATATGCAAAATACAGACACAAATTTTATCGACAGAGGTGATGAATATGGTGATAAGATCCAATACATTATCGCCACGTAATCTAATACATCCCTCCCTAAGCTTAGCTAATTCACCGATATGTATGTAACGTATGGGCATTCATTCACTCGGGCTAGTAAATATGATGTTCGTGTATATTATTCGACAGATACTTTTCAAGGAAACTTTTTAAGGTGATAGAACAATAGTTTGGCTCAGACATAATATTTCTATGTGTGGATGCTCTTTACTTTTTACGCTGTGTTTAGGTACGAAATTACCTTAATTTGTAGTCCATTCCTAATTAACATAAGCATTATAAACATAGAGGGTACTTACGCTATTTCATATTTAATAACTCGGTGTTCTGCTTAAAAATTAACAATAATGCAAGGAAGCATAGAGAAATAATGCCATTTACTAACTAATACTGATATAAGTAAAATAAATCACAACCACCCTGTGTTTTAGATTTCATAACATTAACAAAAACCAGAAAGTGGGATTCTAATAGAAATTTTGGGCCAAACTATCGCACTACCCTCAGAAATTTGACAAACTTCAAAAGGTATGGACTCGTTTGGATTAGGATATGAGGCTCAGCTATCTCATCTTGCCTTACAATGTAAAGAATGCCAGTACGTTTTGTTTAATTACACATATTAGAAAAATCTAGACGTTTTGACAGCATGAAGCGACATTTTAATATTAGCGGTACGTTACGGAACTAATAAAGCCCACGTCGAAACGCCCCATTAGAATTTAGGGCCGTCCCCTTAACAAATACTGTACTTATCGACATCTACATTGAATACAACAACCGGGAACAAAGTAAGCAATAATAAATCGAAAAATATAATCTCTGCCTAACAAAAATTTCAACAATTCCATTTTTTTAATCACCGCAACTACTTGGAAAACGTTAAAGATTTAAAAAACAATTTGTACCGAACATAGAACTGTCAGAAACAATGAAGGAATGTTAATTTGCACGTTTTGTGAGAAACAGGGAGAGGTTAAAGCACCCAGCAGAGTTACACTCTATGAAAGTCGCTGACAATGATTGAATCGTTTTCACGTTTTAAAATTAGTAATAAACGGCTTTCATAATCGTGACCGAGGTTTTTATGTCTAGATATACATCGATACTGTAAAATAACCGCGTGTCACTGGAGTCGACAGCAGACTAGGAACAACATTATAGGTTATGTAGGACGATGTTTTTGCTTGCGGACTTTTTAGAATTACAAAAAATTTTTTTTTGGCCAAAACAGTAGTACCAAAAATATCCGCAATTGACACGACACAACTTTTGACGTTACTAGGGTCGCAACAAACGATTCCGCAGTCGACTCCAGTACCACACTTCACCGGGCTTATGTGTTATTTTCACTTCGACTATACTCATTTAGGCCTGGCTCCGAAAACGACAATTTCTGTTTGATATTTTTTATGAGTGGCAGAAACTTGAGACACCAGTATCTTTTTTACTTAACTTGCCTATTGCGGTAAATATCAACGCGATCCACATACAGAAATTGATATCTCAAATTTCCACCCTCTAATTAGAGTGTTTAATAATTTGGTCCTACTTTTAATGTTTGTAAAGTTGCACAGACATAACACAAGCCAGATTGTGCCCTAACAAGTTTAGGTTGTGGTACAATTTGGCTTGTGCACTACACCTGAAACTCAATCAAAATAATGGTTGCGCACAAATATTTTGATTGAGTTTCACAAATAGCACAAGCCAGATTGTGCCTTATCCATATCAGCATAGGGTACAATTTAGCTTGCGTAACTTACTCAAAGGTCGACTAATACAGGGTGTTTTATTTTATTAGAGCCAGGCTTAACTCCCGTACGATCCAAACGCGAGTCCGGACATATAAAGCGATACACGGCTCACTCACACACTGTCTACTGCGGTCCTTGCGCACTGCGCGGTACAAGCTATTTGTTACACTGCCCCCCACGCGCCCACACGCTACCTGGGAACAAAAAAAACTTATTTAGGAAACATGTGACAAGACATCTTACAACTAAAAACGAATTCGAATCCGAATTTTTAAATTCGTGACGAAATGCGAATGGGACGGTCTGCGTCAAACCCTTAAAAACAAATAAGGCTCAGTCAGTGGTTATGACGGCTGTAGGAAGGGAGGGGACTAAATTGTCTTGCCCCCCAAGACTCGAGTATTGATAATGACAAAGCTCAAACGTCGGATATTCTACCTACCTGCATCACAGCAAACTGCCATGTCGTTTTAGGCGAGGAACCTTAGTTATGTAGTAGACTGACGTGCTGATTATGACGGCTAAAGTCCGGTCGCCGAGCACGTAGAATTTCGTCCAATGATACCAAGCTACCCATCCTTATCGCTCGCGCGTAATTATATTGCTGTCGCGATCGCACACTCACAGCAGCCGCCCGTCGCACAGTCGTGATGGGTGGGTAGCTTGGGGTCATTGGACGAAATTCTATCTGCTCGGCGACCGGACTTTAGTACCATCTTGAAGACTACCTGTTTGCAAGTCTCGCTTGTTTTAAGGCAAACGTACTGGGGTGCTGTCAAGTGAGTACTATGGCAAGCTGTCAAGAAACCTCTGCTATTTATACCTGCTTAGAGCAGGCTGCAGGTCCGCTTCCGCTTGATGGGCTGCACTGGGCAGAGCACGGCGCGGATGGCCTCGTCGAACACCGTCTTCAGCCCCTTCTGCGTCAGCGCGGAACACTCCAGGTACTTCACCGCATTTATCTCTTTTGCCATGCCCAGACCCTGGAAGCGAAAACGAAGAAATCGGTTAGTTGATACGTTAATCAAGACACAACTTCTGAAAGATCACAAAATTCTTGAAAAACCGATTAGTTCTCAAGTTACTGTACAATAAACATCGAATGTATAACGCGTCCTTTTTACATCCACATACAAAACCTAGTACACCAGAACCCCCTTTTTTCTCTGGTATATGTATAATCGTTATTTTAAGGACGATATCTGTCTTGTTAGCTAGTTATAATTAAAATAACTTATTCAATTTGACCAGAATCTTGACTAAACTAACAAAGATCTAATTAACACTAACCCAGCCTTAGTGTTAATTACCATCTTACTTTAACTTTGAACTACAAAATTCTGTCAAGCTCCATACAAAAAACACCGGTTATCATATACAGTTAAACTTAGGTGGTGCAACAGCTTAAAGCCAATAATTTACCTGGGGGTAGGTGATGGGAGCTAGTTTCTTGTCCTTCAGCTTCTCGATGGTGTCTTTGTCTTCGCGGAGATCGAGCTTGGTGCCCACAAGGATGATGGGTGTCGACGGGCAGTGATGCCGGACCTCGGGGTACCACTGGAAATTAAAACAAATGATAGTGTTAGGTTTTAATTCCAGCAGAGAGGTGCTAAGCTTATTCTGCGAGGATTTGTGTTTTTTTTATACACAACGAGGAAGCTCTTGGCCTGTATCTCACCTGATGGTAAATGATGATCAGGCCGAAGGTGGAAGCGAGCTTCACCCGGAATCCTCAACCACGGAGGAACTGGCTATCTTACCTCTAACTGTCGGAATACAACAATGCTGTTAACATTGTTGTTATGGCGACAGACTTAAGTAAGATGGTGGTAGCTAGCCAGGCGGATTTTATTAGAACAAGCCCTACACCAACCAAACCGAATAGAAAAATCTGCCCCCACTGGGAATCGAACCCGGGTCCTCTGCGTCTGGAGCTGGTGGTCTTACCACTAGACCACAGAGGCGGTTAAATAGTAAGTATGCTAATTCATGGCATATTTTACTCCTTCCGTCACCTCACTAGTTTTCTATGTGTGGTGAATGACTGGTGGTTACAAACGCATCCATAGGAACATTGCTATGGCTATTATGACACATCTCTAGTGATCTGAACAAGATCAAATCAACTAACTAAACACCAGAATCACAAAATAAGGCATGTTTGCACGTTTTTATTAGGCATATTTTGCTAAACAGTGTAGAACAAAAGTTAGATGGATCTAGAGTTCTAGACAGTAGCTAAACGATCCTATATTTGACTAAAGAATTCATCGACTTGCAACACCGTTGTATCATAGAAGAAGCAATTACAACACTAAAACATGATAAAAATAAGGTCCGAGTTACCTTAGCTCGCACGTTCTCGAAAGACGCAGGGTTGACGAGAGAGAAGCATATAAGGAACACGTCGGTCTGTGGGTAGGACAGTGGTCGAAGTCGATCGTAGTCTTCCTGCCCCGCCGTATCCCATAGCCCCAGGTTGATGGGCTTGCCGTCTACCATCACATTCGCTGAGTAGTTGTCGAATCTGGAATGGGAGAACATAATTTGTTTAGAGTCAGTTGACTTCAAAGTGAAATCCCTAGATTTTGGGACTCCATAGTTACAATTCCCCATTTCTTACTACACATCATAATCATTTCAGCCATAGGACGTCCACTACACATCCACTAGGTACTGAACATAGGCCTCCACTAATGATTTCCATAGTGATCGATCGGGCTGCATCCAGCGCCTTCCTGCTATCTTTATGAGGTCGTCGGACGTTGTTACTTCTACAAATTCATTTCTTTGAATTGAATTTTGCTCCAACACATCTGGCCTACATTCCTGTCACATAATGATGATGTAATAAAAACCGGTCATAAAGCAGATTGGCAGTACCGGCCCAATATTGGACGATGGTCAGGTTCATGTCCTAGTTTTGTCACTAACCCCGATTTGAAATTACGTCCAGCGATCTTATCTCATTGTTGAACGATTATTAGTAAAATAAACCGACACTGTCGTGATTATTTCGACCCCCTTACCATAGAGTTTAGTTTCAGCTGTAACACTCGAGGTTTAAATAGTTTTAAATAGCTATCAACATGATCGCTGAAGGATCGATCGATAAAATTAACACAATAAAACAAGTTTTAATAAAACATCTGACCAAGCAGACGATAATAGCATAATTTTAGGATCACGTACAAGATACTGTTTTTACAAGCTCTTCCAATAAACCTAGGATATTTTCAATCATATCGGAATTACGAAATTATAACGCGATGGAAAAACATGCAGCTAATAACGGACGGAGTATTAAAACCGATAGAAGTGGCGGGATGAGAAGGAAATTGAACAGGGAATAATTTCCTCTACCTTATTATCGTACCAACTAGATTAATTTATAAAGTACGTTTTAGAATTTGGCCTTCGGTTACAGAATTTTAATCCCATTGCTTTAACAGGGTGAATTTAAGACCCATTAAAGAAATATTATTTTAACGTCATTTCTTGGAAGAACAAGCATTTTATGTTGTAAAAGTAGCATGCATTATAAATTCAGATTTTAATCAAAATAATTTACAAAAAAGTCCATATAATTGACCTGGATCAGAATGAAGACGTCATTCTTCACCAGACACTAAGCACAACAGAAAAAAAATACAAAAATCAAATAAAATAGCATTGTATGTATACTTACACTGTAGGTATGTATTCCCCGGGAAACGCATTTGTGGTGTAACTGATGAGCAGACATGTTTTACCGACGGCTCTGCGGACAAAAACAAGAGCAGCATTAGACGTGACGTGACCTCGGCCAAAGGGGGTGTTGCAAGACCTGACCTAAACAAAAAAGGAACACTTGAGCACGCCCGGAGGATGTGATAACTTGAACGCATAAACTTCTTGAGGCTGTGTCCTTAACATTTTGCATCCTCGCTCAAGTTTCGCATCGTTGAGCGCAGATTACGATGCATAGTTTGTTTAACGTCTTGTTCTTGCTTGAAAAGTTTTGCTACAAACGACTTTTTTGAAGAAGTTTTCTTGAAAACTTCTCTCTATCACAGATTTTAGGATCTGTCAACGAAACAGAAAGTGTTCCAAACACTTGATTTGGAAAAGATAGTTGGAAAATCCCATTTAATTTAACCAAGCCTGGACAAATGTATACAATTACGTAAGTATCGGAATTTGGACTCGGTCCAACATTTCACCAAAACACTTAAAATTCAACAACTCATAAAGCCAAGGTCGGGAATTTAGCGTAGTTATTTTATTACGTTTCGTACTACAATAAAGTTTAAGTGTACACGACACTGGTAGATACTGGTTTCTGCCACTAATTAACCTCATTATGTTGGCTTCAAGCTCCGTAGAATGTGCTGACGATGTTGCATTAAGAGATCTCAAATTGGGGGCGTGTTTCTTCTAATTTGTAAAGCTATGCGTAAGGAAACGATCAAAGGCATTCCCACAGTATTTTTAAACAGTATCTAATTGCTTCATTGTTCCACATTCCTCGCTGAAAACTTTGGGATTGTCTTGTAATTTAACATTCCAGATATCTTTTCAACAGATAAAAGTGCGCAAAGATATAGTGAATCTAATCATTATACTTGGTAATATTTTTTGTGATATTGAACGTGTTTCGTTTCAGACTTAATTAAGACGTTTCCTTCCCCAGACGACTTGCACGAGCAAAGGCTAAATATCAGCAGAATTCCTCGAAAAGTGTACAAGTTCATTATAAATTGCACCGCGTCTGACTCGCGTAGAATGCTTCAAACCCGGCAAAGCAAGACGGTCGGTGCATTCCGAAGCACCGCTAGAGTTCGGAGAGCACTTCAAATTGGCAGTTTTATCGGTGCATTTTATTCAACTCTCGTTGAGTGGAATACGACCTCCTGTCAGATATTCCAATAGGGCTGTCTATTACGTAATTATAAGTAGGTACACATTTTTTACCAGTCCGGTATAGTAGTATGAAGCCAGTCAAATTTTAATGATGATAGTAGTGTAGCTATTTAATGATATCACCGTATCACCACCATAACTCATAATAAAAGCGTAGATAAGTAGATTACAGCATATGCATAAATAGTATCAGTAACTTTTATCATAAAATTTGGTTATGGATTTTAGGTTTGGTGCGTCATATTACAAACCCATTTTATATTAGGTACTTATTTAGCATACCAGAAAGATTTAAGATACCAGAAACAAAACAAGTTAAGTTAAACGTAGACGAACCCTGAATGTAGAGCTGTTGTTAGAGAAGCCTTGATGGGATCTCCAAATAATAATAGTCTAATTAATAAAGCTTGTTGAAAACACCTTTTAAGCTTGTTGCAAAGTGTGAACCCTAACTAAACTGTATCTCAGCGGTTCTAACGAAGGATCGACGACTGGTCGGCCGTAACCCGGCGCACGCGCATCCAGCTACTTACTCCCTAGCCGTTTACGTAGTGGAGTCTATCTGTCACTGTCGCTCATGCTGGCATTCAGCATTGCGTGAGAGAGATGGAAAGAGTTGAAACATCGGACAACGTTGCTAAGAGTAGCCCCCGCTGGGGTCGAGTGCGTCCAATGCAATTTGTATCTCGTCAACGCGTGTCCTGATTGTCTTGTTTTATTGTTTGATGATATGGAAGGACATTATGAAAGTGGTTTCTCCACATTTTCTGACAACCACGATAAGCAATGTCTTCAGATTTCCTCAACAGTATGTTAAAATGTTTATTGTTTTAAGTAACGTATCCTTTTACTAATTACTGTGGACTTTTTCATTGGCACTATCTTATTCATTTGCTTTTTCCAACTTGAAAATAGCCAAAGCTAAGCGTCTAAAAGCGTACAATCCCAACTAATATTATAAATGCGAAAGTAACTCTGTCTGTCTGTCTGTCTGTTACGCTTTCCCGCTTAAACCTCGCAACCGATTTTGATGAAATTTGGCATAGAGATAGTTTGAGTCCCGGGAAAGAACATAGGATAGTTTTTATCCCGGTTTTTGAAACAGGGACGCGCGCGATAAAGTTTTTCTGTGACAGACAAAATTCCACGCGGGCGAAGCCGCGGGCGGAAAGCTAGTCAAATTAATATTTGTTTAGGTTTGTTATAGCCTCATCAAATTATATTATTTGCGCTGTGATACCTTCCAAGAAGCCCATGAAAAAAGTGTTTACCTATTAATTTGATAAGAGATTCGAAATCCACTCGTTTAATTGTTGTCGTTAAAATACCATAACAATTTTTATCAAGGTGGTATTCTACACAATTCTTGATAATATGAGTCACTCTCCATTACATAATGCTATGTTCTCACGTGACTATAACTGGAGTGCATGCAAGTGCAACGTTATCAGCTACTTTCTTTAGTTTTATAGTGGCTGTGGTAGTGTCAACATTTAAAATAATGTTTATGTTTACCGGAACACTGACCACTTGTTTTTTTTTATCCACAACGAGGAAGCTCTCGACCTGTATCTCACCTGATGGTAAGTGATGATCAGGCCGAAGGTGGAAGCGAACTTCACCCGGAATCCTCAACCACGGAGGAACTGGCTATCTTACCCCTAACTTCCGAAACACAACAATGCTGTTAACATTGTTGTTATGGCGACAAGGTAAGATGGTTGTAGCTAGCCAGGCGGACTTAGAACAAGCCCTACCACCAACCAAACCGAACAGAAAAATCTGCCCCACTGGGAACAGAGGCGGTTAAATGGTCTACTACATTTTATTTATTTTAGATTTTACAATAGTTTAATTAAAAAATTGGTAAAGCGATCATCAGTGCGATTAACTCGATAAAAACCGCGAAACAACATTAAAAAATCATTTTAAGAGACCTTTAGTCCATTAGCCTATTCGGATGATGCACCAACTTCCGCTATTGTTTTGTTTTTGCAGATAGATTGACCTGGCAACTTCTTTCGTGACGTCAAAAGTCACTCGATCATGCCCTGCCTGAGTCATTACATTTTATACCACGTAATACTTTGATATCCAGAACCGGTGAGTCAACGCTAGGTCAAGGAGAGGTAAATATTATACTTTAATCGGATAGACCCCGAATTTATTTCGGGACAGATTGGTTTGCTCGAATACGATTGGATTCGATTATGGTTTAATCGATCATCGAGTGTCGCGAGTTGTGTGTCCTTATTGTTTGCGCGGTAATGGAAATACTGTACCGTTATCTTTCTTTGTTTAATAAACCATTATTCGTGTTCATAAATGAATCATGTTTGTGATGTTTTTGTTAAGTTATCATCTGTGGTCGTGTATTCCTTATCCGTATTTTAAATAAATATTCCATATACACAAAACCGTCAAATAATTGTTTAAACCCATTAGAAAGTTTACATCTACAAGTTATTAGTGGTTGTTATGTAGTTACTAATTAGGTACAAACTTAACGTTAGTTTGCATCATAACTGTCGTCTGCTTCTTCCTGTTGCTCTGTCGCTACTATCTCTTTATCTTTGAACTTAACCGTGAAAGAACAGCTTCGTCGTTCGCAAAGTTAGCTGGCAGATAAGTAGTACTTAGGTAGTAGCTTTTCCGCTAAGTAGTTACCTGGCAGATACACGTAGTAAGCCGAGGAATCCAAGCATTTCTATATTTCTAAAATAATATCCGAGTGACTGATGTTCGCTCTTTTGCGTTATTGTTTACGATACTGTTATCAGATCAAGAGTGTACTTAGTGCATTTACCTGTATTAAAAGTTATAGTGCTTACTTATTGTTTAACATAAATCCAAAATTATCTACTTTTAGCAGATCCACTTTTAATGGAGTTATTTCGATATTAAGTAAACCATTTTCAAACTACAGTATTGTTTTTTCTACTATTTTTATGGCACTGTAAAGTTTCATCAAAGCAGCGCAGTTTCATCAATCATACACAACGCCACACATGGTCTGGTTTAAATTTACCACATGTAATGTAAGTATGTCCGGCGAATCCAATCTCAATTTCATGGCGCGTAATATTCATCTTCATTGTACAAATTTAGTTCTATTACCGCTCTATATTCGGGGAATCTGTATTTAATATTCATTGATAAGTAGAATTTAGTCGAATAATAGTTCCGAGAACTTCACTATTAAAGTTTAACGGCATGTGGAAGAGAGAGCATTATTTATCGTTTAGAATCGTTGTTGATGCTCGTATGAAGACGTGTCGGACTGATGCAGCTTTCTAATCGATTCAGAGCATTTTTTTAGCATACCGATCTGGCTACCGGTTGCTTAGTGTCTTTTTAGCATACCCGGTCAGATTCACATTGCGTAGTGTCAAGCTCTCTCATTCATTATTTTAACGCCCATACACATCATGATAGGGGTTACATTTTTCTAGCCATTCGTGAAGTCAAGAATTTTAATATGTCTGGAATTTTGAGTAAGTTTTAACGAGATTACAAATCAGACTACCTTATTAGGAACTCTCTTTATAAAGGGGATTCTGAAGCCCGTATTTGCTTGTCAGCTAATTGGAGGAATGTACCTATTTTGTGCGTATTTCGTATCTCTAGCTTTTCATATAAAATATTCCATCAATGACACTTTTGAGCGTGCAGCAACATTTGTCTTGAACTTTTTAACCTTTCAATAGAAACAAAACACGGCGCTTCATTACAATCCAAGAAAAACAAAAGACGGAAGCCGTCGCGAAATCACAACACCGCGGGAGACCTCTCGCGTGTATTTATACACGAAGATCAACCCACGTTACACGCTTAGTTTAGTCATTTGACGTAATAGAT